GAATAAGAATCAAGAGATCTTCAATCCAAGCTAAATTTATTATATGCAAAATGTATGTATGATAAGTATGAAGGTTCGTATATACGGGTCCACTGAAATACCACGCAGGGCACTCAGAGAACTAATCCATTGTTACAGGTTCTTCTTCAAATACTCTGACAGAGATATTTCCCACTCCCTGCTGGCCAATCAGAGTAGAGACTGAGCGTGGTTTAGACTTACTCAGCCAATCCGTTGGCGCACCGGCTAGTCCCAACCCCTTGGCGCATCCCTGTTGCCAGGCATAAGTTTTTATCATAACAACCTGTGGAGTTAGCACCCAAAAGACACCATTCCACTGTACTGTACTGTGAGTACCTAGTTCAAGGACGGTTCACAGACAACGGTTCACAGACAACAGAGAGGCAGTGTTCGTATCTGTAAGAAATACAAGTTCTTATCTCATCCTACCACCTAACGTTCCTCACATGAATCACAGCCTGTTATGTGAAACAATTTATATCAGTATAGTACAAACCTATGCTTATCATTAATGCATTCCTTCTAAACTATTCATCACATACAGATCCAATTATGAGAAAATAGAACCCTACAAATGGTATTGTACTTAATAGGGTAAAAACTTCTGAATTAGTCCAAAAACATGCTGCGAAGGATTTATTTCGATTTACCAGAAATCACTCAAATGGATTTGCCCTGCCTAATCATGGCCCTGGTGAGTGACATGATGCTTGACAGGCATTTGTAGTTTTGTATGATAGCCACATTAGCAGCTAATTCACTTTTCATTTTGGGGGGGGATAAATACAGGTGAATATATTGATAAATGTCACCTTGTCTGGGAGTGATTTACACGGTTATCAAAACGTCACGCCAGGGTAAGCCCACACGAAACACAGCCCTTATTTGAAAAGTTTCTAAAATCACCTATGGGGGAAAATGAATGGTGGAAAAAAGATTGAAACAATTTCCGTGTTTGACCGCTACCAAGATAGACCACAGCCTGTCGTTTCCAATGGGAAGAGATGAGTCATAGTGGGCAGAACAAGCAAGGAGGTGGGCAGAGCCAAGCACGGGATAGCGAGACCCTATTGGCCCGTTCTAGTGGACATCTGCATAATTCTGTTAGGGAACGCCTACTCTGTGAAACGCTTGTGTTCAATAACTCAATTCGCCTTCGCCTTTTTAAAACTTTGGCAAAAGTCTACACAACTTAGTCCACTCTGTTCATAACATATTCTAGTTTTGGGAACAGAAAACTGTATTGAGATCAAATGTTTCATTGATGGGAACATTTGCAGAACGTAAGCTACAATCCACCTCCTTCCATCTTCTCCCACTGCCGGCCTCTGGGCTTCCTCTCACTACCATATTTGGTAGTGAGCGGAAAACACAAAGCGGATGCTTCATATTTATACATCTAGTGAAATATCTGTCTCATTGTTCTATCTGTGGTGGTCCTCTATTGGTCCATGTTACAGAGGACGGTTCACAATGAGGGGATTCGATTAATCTGGCCCGTACGCCAGGGTAGGCGTGTTTTGCACAGGTTGAAAATTGATTGCATTCGTTTTGCAACCGGGCTGCCTCCGGGTGTGTTCTAGGCGGCGAAGTCCGCTCAAAACAAAGTGGGCACTGCTTATCTAAAAAGCCCTTATGCTACTGGTTGAGAGAAGTTGTCATTGTTTTGGGGCAGAACTATGTGAGATTTTTATGTGTTGTTATTTATGTGTTGTTGTTGTGCGTCTTGGTCAGTTTAGCTCAGAAAATGCCGCCCTCGTCTGCCGCGGCCCGGCCGTGCGTTCCAGCCGTTCCCTTGATTGGCAGACAGCAGGAGGACTGGAATGCTGGACGCCGCGAAACCCAGAAATAAAAAAACTGATAAACGTGTCCTTATCACCACACGACAGAACATCAGAACAAATGCGCATAACTCTCCACGCGGTCGCTACAATATATTTTCAAGAAAATGTATGTTTTTGGATGATGCACAATGCTTCCTTGTTGACAACATGACCGAGCGGCGCAGATTACTGTTGGATTTGAACCTTCTAGCGGTGTCTCATCTTCCATGTCCAGCACCGACCAGCAAGCCTCCTTTCCGATGCGCGATTGAAGTGAATTCGGGAAAACTGAAAGTATGCGTCTTAGAAATAGTTTCACATACTTTATAATGTCCGAACTCAGATTCAAAAAGGTTTCATAAAAATAACATGGTCACGGTGGTAGAACGTTAATTTTGAATGGCATTTTTAATTTTCTGCATTCATTTTAAGTCTCATCCGTAGCTAGCTGAATAAACTCCACTCCATGGTGATGAAAGTTTCCGTAACCTGATTTCAGATGTGTCCATTTAAAAACAGGATTATTAGAGAAATCGTTTTTACAAGCATGTAAACTAACAATTTGACTATCCACAACAATCGTATTATATAACCGTACAGTATGTACTTTATATTTTAAATGTACACAAGGATGAACAATTACACATAAGCAGAGGTGGTGGTGAATTCAACCAGTGTCCGAGTTTAGCAAAGCCTGGCTCTTTCTCATTACCACGGGGCAGCGCACAATTGGCCCAGCGTCATCCAGGGTAGGGGAGGGAATGGCCGGCAGGGATGTAGCTCAGTTGGTAGAGCATGGCGTTTGCAACGCCAGGGTTGTGGGTTCGATTCCCACGGGGGCCTGTATGATTTTTATTTTTTATTATGTATGCACTCACTAACTGTAAATCGCTCTGGATAAGAGCGTCTGGTAAAATGTAAAAATTTAAACATTCACACAAAATAAGTCACACCTCAAGAAGTGGTAAAAAAGATTCACTAAAAAGTTTTATTTTCCATAGTAATATTCACAAACCGTTTGTTAGATCAGATAGAACGAAGCCAAATCTCCATCAGCTTGCCGTTGCTTCCATAGAAATAGAATCTATTCTAGGTTCTATTTCTATGGTTGGTTCTTAATTCAACCTCCTCTGACCTCCCTGCCTGCCAACGCAACTTGGGCATTATAACCATAACAACGATATCAAGAAGTCTTCTGCATTATAATCAATGAGGAAAACAGAAGCGAGAAACAAGACAGAGCAGGGAGACGTTTCCGTTTTTTTTTTATATCTAGACAAAAAGCAACCGAGATGTCAAACATGTAAAAACATTTTTGTTACAGATAATTATATAAAAATCTTTTTTTTTTTTTTATGTTTTACTTTACTTCTTGCTACGTGAAGGAAGGAACTTATTTACAACTGAGCCCAAACTCTGGCAGCGCCAATCAATCATTCTTCATGCCATCATATCCAGCATTTCCCACCACTAGGTAACAAAAAAACCGCTCCGTTCAAAAAGACGTGGAAAACATCAGTCACGTTACACACACTTGCAAACCTAAACACATGTACATCAAAGAATAATACACCAAAAACAAAATGTCAATGGTTATCAATATGAAAAGTTTCTCCACAATTTGAGAGCAGAACATTTCTGAGAATAAACTGGGATTTATCTAAAAAACAAGCCTTGGGAAAATAAAAAAAGATCCTTTTGAATTCCATAGACTCCATAGAATTCATTCTACTATGGACAATCAACAGGTTGAGGAGGGAGAAAGGTGAAAATAAGCTTTTTTTTCTTCTTCATTAAATCAATTCCTTTAATAAAAAAATTAATGAAAGTAAACAAAAACAAAATAATCCACTCCTCTTTTTCTGTCAAATCTTATGTTCTGCAGCAGAACAAGTACAAAAAAGTCCTTGTTATGTAACGGCTCCTTAGACAACCAATTCTGAAACTGTCGAATAGGGTTATAAAAAAAAAAAAAAACTCTCCTAAACATACATGAACCACTGTTATTTTTTTCTTTACTTTAACGAAATGAAGCTATTACTTCACTCGTCTCCCTCTGACATAGGTACACATTAACACACAGTGATGTCACAAAGCAAGATGACAGCCAGGACAGATAAGAGTATTGATTGGTTGATGATGATGATTCCCCTGGAATGGAGAACACTGTCCTCCCCCCAATGTCCTGCTGTCTGTTTTCCATTTGGTGTATTTATTAAATCTCCATGGTGACGTGATGATGTCATCTCCTTGTGTTCCAACTGTCTCCTATAGCAACCGCCTGATTATTCTGAATGCAACCTACCGATGCCCACACCCTCCAATGACATATAATGAGATACACTGGATTTCTCTGCAGAATATATTATGAGCAGTTATTTGTGTTGTCTATTGCTTGTGTAGATAAACAGGAGACAGGAAACGCATGAAACAGACTAGAGAACTAACTAGAAACTACAGTTAAACCAGACTAAACACTTTTTGTATTTTGATTCCACAGAAAATCATATATCATAGGAAAATAAAAAAAGGTAATGGATGTTTCTTTCAACTGTTTTAACAAGTAAATATCAATAATAATACAATAACAAATACAGAAGATTGAACTAAGGCGTCCGTGGCAGCACAACGTCCAGGGATCTGGTGTTTCTCAGCTTCTCATCTTGATCTATTTTGCAGCCATTTTGTGAATGATGGGTGGTTGGGGGCGGGTCTATGTTCAGGATGGGGGCGGGTCTATGTTCAGGATGGGGGCGGGTCTAGGTTCAGGATGGGGGCGGGTCTAGGTTCAGGATGAGGGCGGGTCTAGGTTCAGGATGGGGGCTGGGTCTAGGTTCAGGATGGGGGCGGGTCTAGGTTCAGGATGGGGGCGGGTCTAGGTTCAAGATGGGGGCGGGTCTAGGTTCAAGATGGGGGCGGGTCTAGGTTCAGGATGGGGCGGGGGCGGGTCTAGGTTCAGGATGGGGGCGGGTCTAGGTTCAGGATGGGGCGGGTCTAGGTTTTGGATGGGGGCGGGTCTAGGTTCAGGATGGGGGCGGGTCTAGGTTCAGGATGGGGCGGGTCTAGGTTCAGGATGGGGGCGGGTCTAGGTTCAGGATGGGGGCGGGTCTAGGTTCAGGATGGGGTACTGTAGATAGTTGGTGGGGTTTGAGGCTAGTAGAGGTTGAGCCTGGGGTCTTGGTTGAGCCTGGGGTCTTGGTTGAGCCTGGGGTCTTGGTTGAGCCTGGGGTCTTGGTTGAGCCTGGGGTCGAGGTTGAGCCTGGGGTCGAGGTTGAGCCTGGGGTCGAGGTTGAGCCTGGGGTCGAGGTTGAGCCTGGGGTCTTGGTTGAGCCTGGGGTCTTGGTTGAGCCTGGGGTCGAGGTTGAGCCTGGGGTCGAGGTTGAGCCTGGGGTCGAGGTTGAGCCTGGGGTCTAGTATTCAGTAGGAAGGTGTTGTATTCAGTTCAGTCAGTCATCATGGACAACAAGGGGAGAGGAAGGAAACCCCTTACTGGTCTGATCTGGCCTTCTTTGGACCAGCAGCTTTCCTAAAGGAGGAGAGAAAACATGATTCAACAGATGAACATCGATGGGGCTGCAGAGTTAGGACAGAGTTAGGACAGAGTTAGGACAGAGAGTTAAATTGAAAGCAAAGAGCCAAGTTAAGAGTTATGGAAGAGGGGTGACAGAGGGGTGACAGGCTTGGCCACAAACGACTACTGAATAACTTTTTTCAAAACACCTTTGCATTTCCAAATAAATACATTAATTCATAGTATTTTTAGGAATGTACAGTTAAATAACTGAATTCATGAATTTTACCGCTTATTTAATCATTTTGTGGATTACTAAAGAGAGAGGAGGATGAATCCTAGTACTCACATGTCAGGTGAGGAGCCTGGTCTCTTGGCAGACGGTTTAGCTGCAAGGCCATCTTTACTCATCTCTACAGGGAGAGGGGAAACAGATAGGATTGCACTGAACAAAAATAGAAATGCAACATGCAACAAATTTCAAACATTTTACTGAGTTACAGTTCATATAATAAGGAAATCAGTCAATTGAAATAAATTATTTAAGCCCTAATCTATAGATTTCACATGATTGGGAATACAGATATGCATCTGTTGGTCACAGATAAAAAAGTAGGGGCGTGATCAGAAAACCAGTCAGTATCTGGTGTGACCATTTGCCTCATGCAGCGCGACACATCTCCTTCGCATAGAGTTGATCTGGCTGTTGATTGTGGCCTGTGGAATGTTGTCCCACTCCTCTTCAATGGCTGTCCGAAGTTGCTGGATATTGGCAGGAACTGGAACACGCTGTTGTACACGTCGATCCAGAGCATCCCAAACATGCTCAATGGGTGACATGTCTGGTGAGTATGCAGGCCATGGAAGAACTGGGAAATTTTTACCTTCCAGGAATTGTGTACAGATCCTTGCAACATGGGGCCGTGCATTATCATGCTGAAATATGTGGTGATGGCGGCGGATGAATGGCACGACAATGGACCTCAGGATCTCGTCACGATATCTCTGTGCATTCAAATTGCCATCGATAAAATGCAATTTTGTTCGTTGTCCGTAGCTTATGCCTGCCCATACCATAACCCCACCGCCACCATGGGGCACTCTGTTCACAATGTTGACATCAGCAAACCGCTCGCCCACACGACGCCATACACGCTTTCTGCCATCTGTCCGGTACAGTTGAAACCGGGATTCATCCGTGCCAGTGGCCATCGAAGGTGAGCATGAGCCCACTGAAGTCAGTTACGACGCCGAACTGCACTCAGGTCAAGACCCTGGTGAGGACGACGAGCACACAGATCAACATCCTTGAGGCGGTTTCTGACAGTTTGTGCAGAAATTCTTTGGTTGTGCAAACCCACAGTTTCATCAGTTGTCCGGGTGGCTGGTCTCAGACGATCCCGCAGGTGAAGAAGCCGGATGAGGAGGTCCTGGGCTGGCGTGGTTACACGTGGTCTGCGGTTGTGAGGCCGGTTAGACGTACTGCCAAATTCTCTAAAATGACATTGGAGGCGGCTTATGGTAGAGAAATTAACATTCAATTCTCCAGCAACAGCTCTGGTGGACATTCCTGCAGTCAGCATGCCAATTGCACGCTCCCTCAACTTCAGACATCAAAGCCAAAGACACAAACATACGATTTTATACCTCCTGGACTTGACTCCTCCCACCTTTAGGTGGCTTTTCTAAACAGTTTCCGCCTTCCCCTTCACCCTTGAATGGTTAGTACCGCCCCCTCTGTTAGTGGGTTGACACTACATGATAATTCTAACATTTATACTGTATTTGGGGTGAAATCCTTTAGTCATTATTCTTAAAATCCAAATTAATCTAACACTAACAGGGATGTAAACAAATTGGCACAACATTTGAGAGAAATAAACGTTTTGTGCGTATGGAACATTTCTGTGATCTTTTATTTCAGCTCATGAAACATGGAACCAACACTTTACATGTTGCGTTTATATTTTTGTTCAGCGTAATATTGACTACTGCCACTTAGTGAATCAAGCTTAACATAACGTTCCATACCTTGGAGCCACCGGACCTGCGTGGCAGGGCCGTAACCCTTCTCGTTGCGGGCTGCGATGCGGAAGATGATGGCAGGCTTGGTGGTGTAGTCTATGTGTGCGTTGGAGAGGCTGGACGACTGCACCAGGCAGGAGGGGTTTGGCCCACAGAACACCCGCATGAAGGCCAGCTGGGCTGGGGTGGTGGTGGTGGTGGGCTTGGCCTGCTCTCCGCTCTGGGTGCTCTGGATGGCCAGGTACACGGAGTACTCAATGATCTTACCAGACGTTACCGACGGAGGCTCCCAGGTCAGGTGGGCTCCGTCTGGGCTCTGAGTGGGGAGGAGGGAGAGGAAGAGAGCGGGGAAGAAAGCGTGATCTGAGCTATAAACACGAATTCATAGAAACATGGTGAAACAAAACACGTGTGATAAATAAACGCTCCCTGGGTAAAATATGTTTTAGAATTTGTCCTTAACTGACTTGCCTGGTTAAATACTAAAAATGTAATAAAATAAAAAAATGTTAACCTTGCTGATCTTGATAGCACAGGGAGCTCCGGGGAAGCCTGGTAGACAGGTTTTGAAGGCTGAGACCTCTGAGAAGTTCCCCCGGCCACAGGCGTTGATCCCGGCCACTCTGAACTTATAGGCCGTCCCTGGCTGGAGGTCCATCTTCCTCATCTGACTGTAGTCTGGGATCGCCCCAGAGTCATCCTACAACACACAACAAATATGTTTTTTAAAACTTGATAAATCGACTTATTGTAAAGCATCTTTGGTGTTTTGGGATCTTAGTAGGGCTGTGGCGGTCATTAAACACATCCTACACGCCTTTGGAACATCTACATTTAAAAAAGTCTAATAAAATCAATATCAATATCACAATAAATCCATAATTTATAATTTATTTTAGTCAGGTCTTAAAGAAACATGATATGGAGAAAATGCCTACTGTATGTTATCTGGCTATGCTCCATGCCATAGGCTGTAGGCTTCTTCATTTAGCTGACCATTATTTTATATTATACGATTTTATAGTAAGAAGAATATAATGGAGGTAAAAGTGATTACTTGAAAGAGGTCCTATATGCTAGATTTAGAGTTATTTGGCGACTTTAGTTGTGAATGACACAAACCTTAGAATGTCTTAGAAATCAAAACATACAGTGCATTCGGAAAGTATTCAGACCCCTAGACTTTTTCCACATTTTGTTACATTACAGCCTTATTCTAAAATTGATAAATTACCCCCCCCCTTCAATCTACACACAATACCCCATAATTACAAAGTGAAAACAGGTTTAGACATTTTTGATAATTTATAAAAAATAAAAAACCTTATTTACATAAGTATTCAGACCCTTTGCTATGAGGTTCGAAATTGAGCTCAGGTGCTTTCTGTTTTCATTGATTGTCCTTGACCTGCACAAGGCTGGGATGGGCTACAGGACAATAGGCAAGCAGCTTGGTGAGAAGGCAACAACTGTTGGCGCAATTATTAGAAAATGGAAGAAGTTCAAGATGACGGTCAATCACCCTCGGTCTGGGGCTCCATGCAAGATCTCACCTCGTGGGGCATCAATGATCATGAGGAAGGTGAGGGATCAGCCCAGAACTACACGGCAGGACCTGGTCAATGACCTGAAGAGAGCTGGGACCACAGTCTCAAAGAAAACCATTAGTAACAAACTACGCCGTCATGGATTCAATCCTGCAGCGCACGCAAGGTCCCCATGCTCAAGCCAGCGCATGTCCAGGCCCGTCTGAAGTTTGCCAATGACCATCTGGATGATCCAGAGGAGGAATGGGAGAAGGTCATGTGGTCTGATGAGACAAAAATATAGCTTTTTTGTCTAAACTCCACTCGCCGTGTTTGGAGGAAGAAGAAGGATGAGTACAACCCCAAGAACACCATCCCAACCGTGAAGCATGGAGGTGGAAACATCATTCTTTGGGGATGCTTTTCTGCAAAGGGGACAGGACGACTGCACCGTATTGAGGGGAGGATGGATGGGGCCATGTATCGCGAGATCTTGGCCAACAACCTCCTTCCCTCAGTAAGAGCATTGAAGATGGGTCGTGGCTGGGTCTTCCAGCATGACAACGACCCGAAACACACAGCCAGGGCAACTAAGGAGTGGTTCCGTAAGAAGCATCTCAAGGTCCTGGAGTGGCCTAGCCAGTCTCCAGACCTGAACCCAATAGAAAATCTTTGGAGGGAGCTGAAAGTCTGTATTGCCCAGTGACAGCCCCGAAACCTGAAGGATCTGGAGAAGGTCTGTATGGAGGAGTGGGCCAAAATCCCTGCTGCAGTGTGTGCAAACCTGGTCAAGACCTACAGGAAACGTATGATCTCTGTAATTGCAAACAAAGGTTTCTGTACCAAATATTAAGTTCTGCTTTTCTGATGTATCAAATACTTATGTCACCTTCCTCATGATCATTGATGCCCCACGAGGTGAGATCTTGCATGGAGCCCCAGAACGAGGGTGATTGACCGTCATCTTGAACTTCTTCCATTTTCGAATAATTGCGCCAACAGTTGTTGCCTTCTCACCAAGCTGCTTGCCTATTGTCCTGTAGGCCATCCCAGCCTTGTGCAGGTCTACAATTTTATCCCTGATGTCCTTACACAGCGCTCTGGTCTTGGCCATTGTGGAGAGGTTGGAGTCTGTTTGATTGAGTGTGTGGACAGGTGTCTTTTATACAGGTAACGAGTTCAAACAGGTGCAGTTAATACAGGTAATGAGTGGAGAACAGGAGTACCAGGTCGTTAGGACCTGATGGTAGTTGGTAGTTGGGTACTACCAAAGCATGTTCAGAGTGCATAAAACGGGTTTACCATGACTCATGACTGCCGGTGTGGCAGTAATACGGTTACCGTAAAAGCCCTAGTAGGGGGAAGCCCTATATCTTACTTCATTAGTCTGTCCTTGATTCTTCGCATTCTCTCTCCTTGCCTCCTCCTCCTCAAAAAGCATTGGAGAAGGTCAGAGGGGAGGGACCTTGGATGTTCTCCTCCAACACGTTTTGAGGAGACCATGAGAGAGCGTGTGAGGAATTCGAGGAAAACAAAATGGGAATCTGTGAAAGCCCTAGAAAAAAGCTCTATATAAATAAAACCAATGCATTAAAAATCACAGATACCACGAGTGACTTCAGAACAACAGCAGTCATGTTAGTGTGTTTATGGTTGTGTTAGTGTCTTACGTCGACGGCGGCCTGGTCGTCAGAGGGCAGGTAGTAGTGTGTGACCACCGTGTTGGTAACCTTGACGATGCCAACGTCAAACCACTGGTTGTCTTTCTTCACCGGGGCTTTGGCCACCGCAGGAGGAGCTCCTTGCCTCTGGAGAAGACATGGTGGTTAGAACATATACACTATATGAATTACGTTTTTCACATTTATTCATTAGAGGAATAGATGAGATACTGTTGAAAAAAAATATCGAATAATCAAAATGAGAGGATCTAGATTAATATGCTATTTATAATTTCTGTTGGAACCTTTATTCAGCCAGATAAGATATTTAAAAAAATAAAAATAAAGATATTTTAACAATAATGAGCTGGTTTGTCAAAGAGGTGAACGGTAATCAGCCTGATGATTAGAAGACATACTAAATGCATCATTATTTCTGCATAGAAAAGTATTGGGCGGTGATTAGGTGAGCCTAAGTATTTTTTCAGGCCGCCTATGTCCCCCCAAAAAAACGTATAATCATTTTCAGGAAGAAAAAATATTTTCAGTGTAAACTTAAAAATTATTACAACCATATATAAAGTATGTAGAAAAGATAATGGAGCTATATATAAAAATAAAAAATAAGATCATCTTTGAGAACTAACAATCACCAAAATAAAAGCTAGACAGTCGGGGAGAATCTTAAATTCCAAAAAGTACGGATTACGGAGGATTTTTGTCATAGCATGGGGTCCCCATTGATGTTATGTTCGAGTCACTCAGATAGCATAAGCCATGGCAAGATGTGTTGAATCACAGAAAATTAGCTTTAAAAAACAGCACATTTTCTCTCAGCCCCATGGCAAGATGTGTAGAATTTAGGGCTGGGCGAAATATCAAATTAATTTGATTAATTTGAATGTACATTTTTAGGAGTGTTTATGTTAGCTTGTTCTAACGCTGTCTTTTCGGTCTCGTCTCCTTCGCTCCTCTGTGCACCTTCCCATTTACACCAGAGATCTGTATATACAGTGGGGAGAACAAGTATTTGATACACTGCCGATTTTGCAGGTTTTCCTACTTACAAAGCATGTAGAGGTCTGTAATTTTTATCATAGGGACACTTCAACTGTGAGAGACGGAATCTAAAACATAAATCCAGAAAATCACATTGTATGATTTTTAAGTAATTAATTTGCTTTTTATTGCATGACATAAGTATTTGATACATCAGAAAAGCAGAACTTAATATTTGGTACAGAAACCTTTATTTGCAATTACAGAGATCATACGTTTCCTGTAGGTCTTGACCAGGTTTGCACACACTGCAGCAGGGATTTTGGCCCACTCCTCCATACAGACCTTCTCCACATCCTTCAGGTTTAGGGGCTGTCGCTGGGCAACACGGACTTTCAGCTCCCTCCAAAGATGTTTTATTGGGTTCAGGTCTGGAGACTGGCTAGGCCACTCCAGGACCTTGAGATGCTTCTTACGGAGCCACTCCTTAGTTGCCCTGGCTGTGTGTTTCGGGTCGTTGTCATGCTGGAAGACCCAGCCACGACCCATCTTCAATGCTCTTACTGAGGGAAGGAGGTTGTTGGCCAAGATCTCGCGATACATGGCCCCATCCATCCTCCCCTCAATACGGTGCAGTCGTCCTGTCCCCTTTGCAGAAAAGCATCCCCAAAGAATGATTTTTCCACCTCCATGCTTCACGGTTGGGATGGTGTTCTTGGGGTTGTACTCATCCTTCTTCTTCCTCCAAACACGGCGAGTGGAGTGTAGACCAAAAAGCTCTATTTTTGTCTCATCAGACCACATGACCTTCTCCCATTCCTCATCTGGATCATCCAGATGGTCATTGGCAAACTTTAGACGGGCCTGAACATGCGCTGGCTTGAGCAGGGGGACCTTGCGTGCGCTGCAGGATTTTAATCCATGACGGCGTAGTGTGTTACTAATGGTTTTCTTTGAGACTGTGGTCCCAGCTCTCTTCAGGTCATTGACCAGGTCCTGCCGTGTAGTTCTGGGCTGATCCCTCACCTTCCTCATGATCATTGATGCCCCACGAGGTGAGATCTTGCATGGAGCCCCAGACCGAGGGTGCTTGACCGTCATCTTGAACTTCTTCCATTTTCTAATAATTGCACCAACAGTTGTTGCCTTCTCACCAAGCTGCTTGCCTATTGTCCTGTAGCACATCCCAGCCTTGTGCAGGTCTACAATTTTAACCCTGATGTCCTTACACAGCGCTCTGGTCTTGGCCATTGTGGAGAGGTTGGAGTCTGTTTGATTGAGTGTGTGGACAGGTGTCTTTTATACAGGTAACGAGTTCAAACAGGTGCAGTTAATACAGGTAATGAGTGGAGAACAGGAGGGCTTCTTAAACAAAAACTAACAGGTCTGTGAGAGCCGGAATTCTTACTGGTTGGTAGGTGATCAAATACTTATGTCATGCAATAAAATGCAAATGAATTACTTAAAAATCATACAATGTGATTTTCTGGATTTTTGTTTTAGATTCCGTCTCTCACAGTTGAAGTGTACCTATGATACAAAGCATGTAGAGGTCTGTAATTTGTAAGTAGGAAAACCTGCAAAATCGGCAGTGTATCAAATACTTGTTCTCCCCACTGTAGTGATGAGATGCTCGTGTCTCCGTCCAAACAATGAAGTCGTTGTCCCAAAAGCAGGAAGGCAGGCGACAAGCTTAGCGCCAAAATAGGTCCATAGAAACGCATTGGGCCATAGAAACCTCTCGCATCACCTCTTCCACCATGTTTACACACACACACACACACCAAGCCCCTCCCCCTGCCACTCACAACAACAAAGATGAGAGATCTTCCTCCTCTCTGACAAGCGGTTTCAACTTGCTATTTGAATTTGGTCCAACAGAAAAATCGGTCGTATGGACACAGAAACACATTATTTTACTGTAATAGAGAAGTTAACCATTCTAACAACTATTTTTTATGTCTCAACTCCACAAATTGAGCACAGAGCAGACACTACTAAAACAGGAGTATCAATGAACATTGAGGGGTGGGGGGGGGGGAAGCAGGTTAAACTGTTTTGATAAAATAATTACATTGTTTGTGGGTCTTTGGGGAAGGGTTATATTTAGCCTATGTATACCTTTACAAGCCCCGAATTCATTCGATTATTGCTGACTGTTTGAAATGCAGTGTATAGTCCCTCCTATAGCTCAGTTGGTAGAGCATGGCTGTTTGCAACGCCAGGGTTGTGGGTTCGATTCCCACGGGGGGCCAGTATGAAAAACGTATGCACTCACTAACTGTAAATCGCTCTGGATAAGAGCGTCTGCTAAATGACTAAAATGTAAATGTATTTGACCTTTAAAAATCGTACAACAAAGCTTATTTAGAGAAAACATTGTAAATAATTTAGATATTAAAATCGGGAATCACCCGATTATTACAGAACATTTGCAGGAAGTGTGGTTTAAAATTGCAATGCTCTCTCCACCACATGGCAGAATTCGCTTTAGAACAGCTACATTTTGTCACTGCGGCCACGCACCATCACCCAAACCCCATTTTTATCCATAAAATAATCCTGTTTGGTAACACTTTACCTAAAGCCTGCCGTTATAATGCATTGTAAGACTTGTCATGCGCACGTATGACCCTTTTGTAATGTCTTATAATCATCTCATAGTGATCCTGACTAAATAACAGCCATTTTGAGTTACATCAATGATTCATCAGGGTAAAACAGAAGACATAAAGCCAGTCTAGTCCAGTCCACTCACCCCAGCAGCAGACTCTATTCCATTGACCACCTCTCTCTCGGACGTAGCTGCCTGCGTCTTAGCCGGGCTGGCCACCATCATTGCCTGAGTTGGGGTCAAGGTGCAGGACGGGGCTAAGCGGGCCACAGCCTGGGTCACTGCAGCGGCCAGCTCCTGGCCGCTGCTCTCCGACGCTGGGTCGTTCAGGCTGTCTGCTGGGGCCAGGCCCTCGGTGGGCTGGGTCAAATCAAACTTTATTTATACAGCATTTCGTACAATAAAATGCAGTTCAAAGTTCTTACTTAACAAATGCAAAGAATACATTAAGACCGCCTAAATGAAGACAGACGGACATAACAGACAGACAGAGACAGACGGACAGACAGACAGACAGACAGAGACGGATAGACAGAACAGACAGACAGAGACAGACGGGCAGACAGAGACAGACAGACAGAGACAGACGGGCAGACAGAACAGACAGACAGACGGACAGAACAGACAGACAGAGACGGATAGACAGAACAGACAGACAGACAGAGACGGATAGACAGAACAGACAGACAGAGACGGATAGACAGAACAGACAGACAGAGACAGACGGACAGACAGACAGAGACGGATAGATCGATAGTAGGGCTGCACAATTAATGGAATTCACATTGCACGCAATATTTTGAAATGCCACTAAGCCCAACTTCCGTTTTTCTAGTTTACTCTGTCGTCTCCCTCCTCACCTCTCGTGGCTGCTTCCCACACACCAAGCCCCGCCCCCTGTCAATCAAGCAGCGCAGTTCATCCTCCTCGCTGTTAGATTCACTGTAAGTTATTCTGTTAGGTCAACTAATTGTTCCAAGAACGGTGCTGCTTCCACTTTGTTTCTTAACATAAATCATTCTATTTAAAATGATTCCAACAGTTTAGATCTATATGATCTAGATCTCATATCATGCTGCCCTAATAGACAGAACGACAGATACAGACAGACAGTTAGAGACAGACAGTTAGAGACGGGCAGACAGACAGACAGAGAAGGGCAGACAGACAGACAGAGACGGGCAGACAGACAGACAGAGACGGGCAGACAGACAGACAGAGACGGGCAGACAGAGACGGGCAGACAGAGACGGGCAGACAGAGACGGGCAGACAGACAGAGACGGGCAGACAGACAGACAGAGACGGGCAGACAGACAGACAGAGACGGGCAGACAGACAGACAGAGACGGCAGACAGAGACGGGCAGACAGAGACGGGCAGACAGAGACGGGCAGACAGACAGACAGAGACGGGCAGACAGACAGTTAGAGGCGGGCAGACAGACAGTTAGAGGCGGGCAGACAGACAGTTAGAGGCGGGCAGACAGACAGTTAGATGTGGGCAGACAGACAGACAGAGACGGGCAGACAGAGACGGGCAGACAGAGACGGGCAGACAGAGACGGGCAGACAGACAGACAGAGACGGGCAGACAGACAGACAGAGACGGGCAGACAGACAGACAGAGACGGGCAGACAGACAGACAGAGACGGGCAGACAGACAGACAGAGACGGGCAGACAGACAGACAGAGACGGGCAGACAGACAGACAGAGACAGGCAGACAGAGACGGGCAGACAGAGACGGGCAGACAGAGACGGGCAGACAGACAGACAGAGACGGGCAGACAGACAGTTAGAGGCGGGCAGACAGACAGTTAGAGGCGGGCAGACAGACAGTTAGAGGCGGGCAGACAGACAGTTAGAGGCGGGCAGACAGACAGTTAGATGTGGGCAGACAGACAGACAGAGACGGGCAGACAGAGACGGGCAGACAGAGACGGGCAGACAGAGACGGGCAGACAGACAGACAGAGACGGGCAGACAGACAGACAGAGACGGGCAGACAGACAGACAGAGACGGGCAGACAGACAGACAGAGACGGGCAGACAGACAGACAGAGACAGGCAGACAGAGACGGGCAGACAGAGACGGGCAGACAGACAGACAGAGACGGGCAGACAGACAGTTAGAGGCGGGCAGACAGACAGTTAGAGGCGGGCAGACAGACAGTTAGAGGCGGGCAGACAGACAGTTAGATGTGGGCAGACAGACAGACTGAGACGGGCAGACAGACAGACAGAGAAGCAGACAGACAGTTAGAGGCGGGCAGACAGACAGTTAGTGGCGGGCAGACAGACAGTTAGAGGCGGGCAGACAGACAGTTAGAGGCGGGCAGACAGACAGAGGCGGGCAGACAGACAGTTAGAGGCGGGCAGACAGACAGTTAGAGGCGGACAGAGGAGGGCAGACAGACAGAGGAGGGCAGACAGACAGAGGAGGGCAGACAGACAGAGACAGAGAATTAGAGGCAGACAGTTAAGACCGGCAGACACAGGCAGAGAGAGAGACAGGCAGACAAAGATGGGCAGAGAGAGAGACAGGCAGACAGATGGGCAGACACAGAGTTAGAGACAGGCCGACCGACAGAGACAGGCAGTTACTGACAGACACAGGCAGACACAGACAAGCAGGCAGTTAGAGACAGACAGAGGCAGACAGTAAAACAGTGGTTGGGCCGACTGACCTGGTTGTGTTGTGCTGCTGCTGCCTGGGCCTGGGCAGTTGGAAACAGGCAGACAGTTGGAGAGAGGCAGACAGTTGGAGACAGGCAGACAGTTGGAGACAGGTAGTTAGAGGCAGACTGGAAGACTGTTAGGGACAGGCAGGCAGACCGTTTGAGACGGGCAGGCAGACCGTTAGGGACGGGCAGGGCAGACCGTTAGGGACGGGCAGGGCAGACCGTTAGGGACGGGCAGGGCAGACCGTTAGGGACGGGCAGGGCAGACCGTTAGGGACGGGCAGGGCAGACCGTAAGGGACGGGCAGGGCAGACCGTTAGGGACGGGCAGGGCAGACCGTTAGGGACGGGCAGGGCAGACCGTTAGAGACAGGCAGGCAGACCGTTAGAGACAGGCAGGCAGACCGTTAGAGACAGGCAGGCAGACCGTTAGAGACAGGCAGGCAGACCGTTAGAGACAGGCAGGCAGACAGAGACAGACCGTTAGAGGCAGACAGAATTAGAGACGGGCAGGCAGACAGAATTAGAGACGGGCAGGCAGACAAATTTAGAAATGGGCAGTTAGACAGTTAGCGACGGGCAGACAGTTAGCGACGGGCAGACAGTTAGCGACGGGCAGACAGTTAGCGACGGGCAGACAGTTAGCGACACAGTTAGCGACGGGCAGACAGTTAGCGACACAGTTAGCGACAGGCAGACAGTTAGCGACAGGCAGACAATTAGCGACACAGTTAGCGACAGGCAGACAGTTAGCGACAGGCAGACAGTTAGCGACACAGTTAGCGACAGGCAGACAGTTAGCGACAGGCAGACAGTTAGCGACACAGTTAGCGACAGGCAGACAGTTAGCGACAGGCAGACAATTAGCGACACAGTTAGCGACAGGCAGACAGTTAGCGACAGGCAGACAGTTAGCAACACAGTTAGCGACGGGCAGACAGTTAGCGACAGGCAGACAGTTAGCGACAGGCAGACAGTTAGCGACACAGTTAGCGACAGGCAGACAGTTAGCGACAGGCAGACAGTTAGCGACACAGTTAGCGACAGGCAGACAGTAAAACAGTGGTTGGGCCGACTGACCTGGATGTGTTGAGCTGCCTGGGCCTGGGCCTGGGCCTGGGCCTGGGCCTGAGCCTGCTGCAGCTGTTGTTGTTGTTGAACCAGGGCTGCCAGCTCAGCCTGAGTCAACACAATGGGGATGGTGGTGGTCTGATCTGGAGAGGGACAGGGGAGATGAGACTGCTAACACCAACGATTCTCTTTCCAGTCCTACCACACATCTGTTTAAACTAGTCAATCTGCTAGCCCTCGATGGACTGAATCAGTGCTAGTGTTGGAATGTAACAAATATGTGAAACACACCTAAATCTGTAACGACCCTTGCTGGTTCTACATCAGGGCCCGTATTCATAGTGTCTCAGAGTAGTAGTGCTGATCTAGAATCAGCTCCCCCCGTCCAAGTAATCTCACGCATTATGATCTAAAAGGCTAAACTGATCCCAGATCACCAGTCCCTGAACACAGGCCCTGGTCCTGCAGGAGTAAGCCTAGTCACCAGTCTGTCTTTCTCTGAACACAGGCCCTGGTCCTGGAGGAGTAAGCCTAGTCACCAGTCTGTCTTTCTCTGAACACAGGCCCTGGTCCTGCAGGAGTAAGCCTAGTCACCAGTCTGTCTTTCTCTGAACACAGGCCCTGGTCCTGCAGGAGTAAGCCTAGTCACCAGTCTGCCTTTCTCTGAACACAGGCCCTGGTCCTGGAGGAGTAAGCCTAGTCACCAGTCTGTCTTTCTCTGAACACAGGCCCTGGTCCTGCAGGAGTAAGCCTAGTCACCAGTCTGTCTTTCTCTGAACACAGGCCCTGGTCCTGCAGGAGTAAGCCTAGTCACCAGTCTGTCTTTCTCTGAACACAGGCCCTGGTCCTGCAGGAGTAAGCCTAGTCACCAGTCTGCCTTTCTCTACTCACTCATGACAGCATGCCGTGGCCAGGGCCTGGTCTGTCTGCTCTAGGTCTGTCTGCCCGGCTCTCTGTCTGTCTGTCTGCCCGCCTCTCTGTCTGTCTGTCTGCCCGCCTCTCTGTCTGTCTGTCTGCCCGCCTCTCTGTCTGTCTGTCTGCCCGCCTCTCTGTCTGTCTGTCTGCCCGCCTCTCTGTCTGTCTGTCTGCCCGCCTCTCTGTCTGTCTGTCTGCCCGCCTCTCTGTCTGTCTGTCTGCCCGCCTCTGTCTGTCTGCCCGCCTCTCTGTCTGTCTGTCTGCCCGCCTCTCTGTCTGTCTGTCTGCCCGCCTCTCTGTCTGTCTGTCTGCCCGGCTCTCTGTCTGTCTGCCCGCCCGCCTCTCTGTCTGTCTGCCCGCCCGCCTCTCTGTCTGTCTGCCCGCCCGCCTCTCTGTCTGTCTGCCCGCCCGGCTCTCTGTCTGTCTGCCCGCCCGGCTCTCTGTCTGTCTGCCCGCCCGGCTCTCTGTCTGTCTGCCCGGCTCTCTGTCTGTCTGTCTGGCCCTCTGTCTGTCTGTCTGTCTGCCCGGCCCTCTGCCCGGCTCTCTGTCTATCTGTCTGTCTGCCCGGCTCTCTATCTGTCTGTCTGTCTGTCTGTCCGGCTCTCTATCTGTCTGTCTGCCCGGCTCTCTATCTGTCTGTCTGCCCGGCTCTCTGTCTGTCTGTCTGCCCGGCTCTCTGTCTGTCTGTCTGTCTGTCTGTCTGTCTGTCTGTCTGTCTGTCTGTCTGTCTGTCTGTCTGTCCTGTCTGTCTGTCTGTCCTGTGTCTGTCTGTCTGTCTGTCCTGTGTCTGTCTGTCTGTCCTCTGTCTGTCCTGTGTCTGTCCTGTGTCTGTCCTGTGTCTGTCCTGTGTCTGTTCTGTGTCTGTTCTGTGTCTGTCTGTCTGTCTGTCTGCCCGCCCGGCTCTCTGTCTCTCTGTTCTGTGTCTGTTGGTCTGTCTGCCCGGCTCTCTGTTCTGTGTCTGTTGGTCTGTCTGCCCGGCTCTCTGTCTCTCTGCTCTGTCTGTCTGTCTCTGTGCTCTGTCTGTCTGTCTCTGTGCTCTGTCTGTCTGTCTCTGTGCTCTGTCTGTCTGTCTCTGTGCTCTGTCTGCCTGTCTCTGTGCTCTGTCTGCCTGTCTCTGTGTCTGCCTGTCTCTGTGTCTGCCTGTCTCTGTGTCTGCCTGTCTCTGTGTCTGCCTGTCTCTGTGTCTGCCTGTCTCTGTGTCTGCCTGTCTCTGTGTCTGCCTGTCTCTGTGTCTGCCTGTCTCTGTGTCTGCCTGTCTCTGTGTCTGCCTGTCTCTGTGTCTGCCTGTCTCTGCGTCTGCCTGTCTCTGCGTCTGCCTGTCTCTGCGTCTGCCTGTCTCTGCGTCTGCCTGTCTCTGCGTCTGCCTGTCTCTGCGTCTGTCTGTCTCTGTCTGTCTCTGTGTCTGTCTGTCTCTGTGTCTGTCTGTCTCTGTGTCTGTCTGTCTCTGTGTCTGTCTGTCTCTGTGTCTGTCTGTCTCTGTCTCTGTCTGTCTCTGTCTCTGTGTCTGTCTGTCTCTGTGTGTACTCACTCATGACAGTGTGCTGTGCGGCCTGCAGGACAGCTTGTATGGCCATGGCCTGGGCGTTAGCCTCCCCAGTAGCAGCGTGCTGTGCTGCCTCCTCGGCTGCAGCGGTAACAGCCAGCTCCTCGGGGGTTAAACCCGTCACCATCAGTGTCTGCTGGCCCCCAGCGCCACCTTCAGACATCAGCTCTGCAGGCAGGCCCTAGAGAACAGGATGCAGAGAAGGGGAACATTGTTGAGGAGGACAATTCAATATCTTTGTTGTGTTACACTGCCAGGACATATTCACACACCTTCACAACGAAACTCAGAACTGAACTGTACCTCCTGCTCCCCCTGGTTCTGTTCCTCCATGCCCTCCACATGGACCTGTATCCCAGCTGCAGCAGCCTCCTCCAGGGTCACAACCCTTATTGTGCCCTCTGGGAGAGAGTCAGTCTGCATGGCCTCCTCTTCCTCTTCAGCCCCCGATGCCACCGCCTCAGACAACCCAGACATTGATGAGATCTCCTGGAGAACATAGAAGAGAGAAGAGGGAGAAAAGAGAGTGAAGGAGAGAGAGAAGAGAGGAGAGCGAGAGAAGAGAGGAGAGCGAAGAGAGAGAGGAGGAGAGCGAAGAGAGAGAGGAGGAGAGAGAAGAGGGAGAGCAGGAGAGAGAAGAGGGAGAGCAGGAGAGAGAAGAGGGAGAGCAGGAGAGAGAGAGAGAGGAGAGAGAAGAGGAGAGAGAGAGAGAGAAGGAGAGAGAAGAGGGGAAGAGAGAAGAGGCAGAGAGCAGGAGAGAGAAGAGGGAGAGAGAGGAGATGAGGAGGAGAGCAGGAGAGAAGAGGGAGAGGAGGAGAGAGAAGAGGGAGAGGGAGAGAGAGAGAAGAGGAGAGCGGAAGAGAATGAGAAGAGAGAGAGGTGAGGACGAGGAGAGGAAGAGAGAGAGGAGAGGAAGAGAGAAGGAAACTTACTGGGCGGGTTGCATCAACATGGTTTAAATTAATCTTAGATTAAGGTTAAATTAATACTAGGATTAATTAAAAACTTGGTTTAAAGTTTGATTAATAGATCAACCTTGATTTAACCAGGTTAATAGTTAATCCATGTTGATGCTACCCACCCATGATGTCCAAAATAATTGATGTGAAAACAATTTTTAGTGCAGAGACTGGCTGTGGGGCTCGAACCAGTTGCCTACCTTCCATGGCAAGTACTACCCACAACCCCAAGTACTACCCACAACCCCAAGTACGCTACCCACAACCCCAAGTACTACCCAGAACCCCAAGTACTAACCACAACCCCAAGTACTAACCACAACCCCAAGTACTAACCACAACCCCAAGTACTACCCACAACCCCAAGTACTACCCACAACCCCAAGTACGCTAACCACAACCCCAAGTACTACCCACAACCCCAAGTACTACCCACAACCCCAAGTACTACCCACAACCCCAAGTACTACCCACAACCCCAAGTACTAACCACAACCCCAAGTACGCTTACCACAACCCCAAGTACTACCCACAACCCCAAGTACGCTAACCACAACCCCAAGTACTAACCACAACCCCAAGTACTACCCACAACTCCAAGTACTAACCACAACCCCAAGTACTACCCACAACTCCAAGTACTAACCACAACCCCAAGTACTAACCACAACCCCAAGTACGCTAACCACAGTAGAGTTGACAGTATGAAAGCCAGGTGTAATAGTGTCCTAACAGGTACGGAGGGCCCAGGTGTGGGCGTGGACTGAGTAACCATGGTGAAGGCTCTGCCAGACGTCGTCACAGCGTTGGACTCGGTAGTTGCCGAGGACGACGAGGGAGCCTCCGTAGTTCCGTTGTCTCCCTGTGTCGAGTCACCAGGCTGGGCTGGAGGGAGGAGGGACATCCCAACATTACGATTAAAACATCCCAACAGTAGGACTAAAACATCCCAACAGTAGGACTAAAACATCCCAACATCCCAACAGTAGGACTAAAACATCCCAACATTACGATTAAAACATCCCAACAGTAGGACTAAAACATCCCAACAGTAGGACTAAAACATCCCAACAGTAGGACTAAAACATCCCAACAGTAGGACTAAAACATCCCAACAGTAGGACTAAAACATCCCAACTGTAGGACTAAAACATCCCAACAGTAGGACTAAAACATCCCAACAGTAGGACTAAAACATCCCAACAGTAGGACTAAAACATCCCAACAGTAGGACTAAACATCCCCATACATCTCCAACAGTAGGACTAAAACATCCCAACTTAGATTAAAACATCCCAACCCACATAGGACTAAACTCCAAGTACTAAAACATCCCAACAGTAGGACTAAAACATCCCAACATCCCAACAGTAGGACTAAAACATCCCAACAGTAGGACTAAAACATCCCAACAGTAGGACTAAAACATCCCAACATCCCAACAGTAGGACTAAAACATCCCAACAGTAGGACTAAAACATCCCAACAGTAGGACTAAAACATCCCAACAGTAGGACTAAAACATCCCAACATCCCAACAGTAGGACTAAAACATCCCAACAGTAGGACTAAAACATCCCAACAGTAGGACTAAAACATCCCAACAGTAGGACTAAAACATCCCAACAGTAGGACTAAAACATCCCAACAGTAGGACTAAAACATCCCAACAGTAGGACTAAAACATCCCAACAGTAGGACTAAAACATCCCAACAGTAGGATTAAAACATCCCAACAGTAGGATTAAAACACAGGTAAAAAAAAATAATAATAACTAAGGCTGTGTTTACACAGGCAGCCAAATTCTGATCCTTTGCCCAATTATTGGTCTTTGGACCAATCAGATCAGATCTGTTGCCAATAATTGTGCAAAAGATCAGAATTGGGCTGCCTGTGTAGAACGCAGCATGAGGGACAATTTCTCGGACCCAAATTAAACAAATTCTATTCCTTATAGAGATTCACCTTTGCAGTCTAGGACCAGACGCAATCCGTCTGGAAAAATATTTCCTAAAAACCTATGAGAGCAGAAATCTGATTATACGTCTAAGGGTTCATACACATTTCGAAAGACGGAATTTCATGACTTTTCCCATGAGCAACAATCGGCAGCATCTCTATGTACATATAAAAAAGTAAGTCATGTGATATCAACACTGGGAGGCTGCTCTCTGATCCCATGTACCATCTCCTGTTGTTGTGCAAGGCTCATAACCCCCCACAAAGTAGAATACCTGTTAGGCAACTGTATAAAACACATGTTGTCAACCCTCAGTCCGGAGCGCTACTGGGTCTGCTCAAACACATCAGAGAAAGTTTTTCAAGGTCCGGTTGAGCAGCTCATTACTAAAATGTAGTTTGAGGGGAATAAAAGCCTGCACACCCATCAGCTCTCCTGGAGGATTGGTTGACCACCCATTAGCTCTCCTGGAGGATGGTTGACCACCCATCAGCTCTCCTGGAGGATTGGTTGACCACCCATCAGCTCTCCTGGAGGATTGGTTGACCACCCATTAGCTCTCCTGGAGGATTGGTTGACCACCCATCAGCTCTCCTGGAGGATTGGTTGACCACCCATCAGCTCTCCTGGAGGATTGGTTGACCACCCATCAGCTCTCCCGGAGGATTGGTTGACCACCCATTAGCTCTCCTGGAGGATTGGTTGACCACCCATCAGCTCTCCTGGAGGATTGGTTGACCACCCATCAGCTCTCCTGGAGGATTGGTTTGACCACCCATCAGCTCTCCCGGAGGATTGGTTGACCACCCATTAGCTCTCCTGGAGGATGGTTGACCACCCATCAGCTCTCCTGGAGGATTGGTTGACCACCCATCAGCTCTCCTGGAGGATTGGTTGACCACCCATTAGCTCTCCTGGAGGATTGGTTGACCACCCATCAGCTCTCCTGGAGGATTGGTTGACCACCCATCAGCTCTCCTGGAGGATTGGTTGACCACCCATCAGCTCTCCCGGAGGATTGGTTGACCACCCATTAGCTCTCCTGGAGGATGGTTGACCACCCATTAGCTCTCCTGGAGGATGGTTGACCACCCATTAGCTCTCCTGGAGGATGGTTGACCACCCATCAGCTCTCCTGGAGGATTGGTTGACCACCCATCAGCTCTCCTGGAGGATGAGTGGCGCAGTGGTCTAAGGCACTGTGCCACTAGAGATCCTGGTTCGAATCCAGGCTCTGTCGCAGCCGGCCGCGACCGGGAGACTCATGGGCGGCGCACAATTGGCCCAGCGTCGTCCAGGGTAGGGGAGGGAATGGCCGGCAGGGATGTAGCTCAGTTGATAGAGCATGGCGTTTGCAACGCCAGGGTTGTGGGTTCGATTCCCACGGGGGGCCAGTATATAAAATAAATAAATAATGTATTCACTAACTGTAAGTCGCTCTGGATAAGAGCGTCTGCTAAATGACGTAAATGTAATAATGGTTGACCACCCATTAGCTCTCCGGGAGGATGTTTGACCACCCTTGATGTAAAACATTGCAACCAAATACGTTTTATGCCTTTTTAAATAATTTGCTCATTCAATATATCAAAGAAAGATCAACTGGCTATGGTAGGCTACAAGTCTATTTATTCAGATGAAGCAAGCCCACAAATTGTCTTCAGGAAATTTACCTTTTCATGTTAGTCATATTTATCTTAGCTACCTTAGTTCTAAGTGTTTACTTTGAAGGCTGACTAGCATCTATTGAGTTGCAATGTCCCATACATTGGATGCCCAAATCAACTGGAAGTATCTACAAAACACGTTTTGAAGCCGCATAATCCTAAAGAAATTACTCTTCGGGATTCTAATTATTATTTTGAGTCACCGCAATTGAACCAAATCCAAAATAATACAAATGGCGAAGTGAATCTTCATTTCGTCAAGAAATAAATCGTTCAAATGAATCCTTATCAATCGTTCAATAAAGTCAATGAACTTCGTATGGCCTTATTACGAAGTTTTTTTGGGGGGACATGACGAAAACATTAGTACATGCTAATAATAGCGCAAGAGTTAACTAGAGGCTACAAGATATGTTATGAATTGGCTACCTAGTTCTCTCTCTCTGTCTGTCTGTCTGTCTGTCTACCTAGTTCTCTCTCTCTGTCTGTCTGTCTGTCTGTCTACCTAGTTCTCTCTCTCTGTCTGTCTGTCTGTCTGTCTACCTAGTTCTCTCTCTCTGTCTGTCTACCTAGTTCTCTCTTCTCGTCTGTGTTGTCTACCTAGTTCTCTTCTCTTCTGTCTGTCAGTTTGTTCTTGTTAACTAGTTCTCTCTCTCGTCTGTTACGAGTTCTCTCTCTCTGTCTGTCTACCTAGTTCTCTCTCTCTGTCTGTCTACCTAGTTCTCTCTCTCTGTCTGTCTACTAGACTCCTCTCTCTACGGTCGTCTACGCTAGTTCTACTAGCTCTATCTCTGTCTGTCTACTAGTTCTCTCTCTCTCTATCTGGGAGAGAGAAACGAGGGAGAGAGAGCTAGAAGAGCCTCTTCGATAGCTCTAGCGATTATATACTCTAGAAGAGAGAGAGAGAGAGAGATATAGCTCGATATCTATCTCTATGTATCTTCTCTATCTATAGCTATCTTCTATCTCTCTCTCTCTCTCATCTCTCTCTCTCTCTCTCTCTTTCTCTCTCTCTCTCTTCTCTCTCTCTCTCTCTGCAACATTTTGAGTCATTTAGCAGACGCTCTTTTCCAGAGCGACTTACATGAGCAATAGGGTTTAAGTGCTTGCTCAAGGGCACAGACAGATTTTTCACCTAGTCGGCTCGGGGATTAGAACCAGCGACCTTTCGGTTACTGGCACAACGGTCTTAACCACTAAGCGTACCTGCCGCCTATCATTGCGCGGGCCACGCAACGGCACTAAAAACAGACACCGCCACGAATAACATCGGCGGCACAATCGACGGCTCAGTCCTCTTGCACACATGCAGGTGGTGAGTGCGCAGACTCTTTAAAACAACTTGTCAAACACAAGGCCCGCGCAATGATTTGGGGTTATCAATTCATTTTGGGGCCGATTCCATACCGCGCCGCGCTACAAGTCACAGCAAGCACGGCCAACATGCTGCACGCCAAAAGGCGATGCATTGCCACCCCCCCCCCCCAGAACCACACATGAGCACGCCATACACACCCCTCCTACCAGAACCACACCCCTCCTCCCAGAACCACAGCCAGTGTACTGTATCACGTCATCACCAATGGCACTGACCAAATCTTCTACCGGACTGAAAGTTTTCAACCTGTTGTAGGCTGAATTCCCACACCAAGTGCCGGTTCCAACGGGCCATTGCTGTAGCCTACGGAAAATGTCATATTGGTTGTCAAAAAGTTACAAGATAAAAAAAGGATTCACACGTGATTATAAATTACTACAAAAAAAAAAAAAAGGACAATAGGACACACAAGCGAGTAACAAAATGAGTCAACAGGTCCTCTGTAGCTCAATTGGTAGAGCATGGCGCTTGTAACGCCAGGGTAGTGGGTTCGATCCCCGGGACCACCCATACCTAAAAATGTATGCACACATGACTGTAAGTCGCTTTGGATAAAAGCGTCTGCTAAATGGCATATTATATTATTATTATATTATTAACAGCTGAGTCATCTACTTCATGAGATTTACAGCCTGATGATGCGCTCGCGTCTGTGATTTCAACGTCAATTGCGCCGCTTTCTCGTGTCCCGTTTACAGCGTTGAGCAGACGGAACGCTGTACAGACACATTCTACAGCCTCTGCCTGGCTTCGGTTGCTACAGCTTGACAATAAATAACCCCCCCCCTCCCAAAAAATACCTTCACAAATAAAAACAACATGTAGGCCTACTACAGCAACATTTGAGCAGTAGCCTAGGCAACGCATTGAGCGCCATACAGCAATGCTGCATTCAACTGCACTGGTGTTCCACTTAATGCAAAAAAAAAAATATATATATATATATATATATATATATATATATATATATATATATATATTTACAAAAATACATGTTTTACATTTAAAAATGTTACAACAACCTAGCTACGTTTGTTATTTGAAGTTATAAAAATAAAAAAACGTTTGATTTTGGTCGCAGCATATTATGCACACCTGCAAGCATAGCAGCAAAGGCTGGACAAATATTATTGATCTCTTGTTTTAATATGTTAAAATGCTATATACAGCATCCTATAACTGGACATTATAAAGGGACATATTTATGCTATATACAGCATCCTATAACTGGACATTATAAAGGGACATATTTATGCTATATACAGCATCCTATAACTGGACATTATAAAGGGACATATTTATGCTATATAGAGCATCCTATAACTGGACATTATAAAGGGACATATTTATGCTATATACAGCATCCTATAACTGGACATTATAAAGGGACATATTTATGCTATATAGAGCATCCTATAACTGGACATTATAAAGGGACATATTTATGCTATATACAGCATCCTATAACTGGACATTATAAAGGGACATATTTATGCTATATAGAGCATCCTATAACTGGACATTATAAAGGGACATATTTATGCTATATACAGCATCCTATAACTGGACATTATAAAGGGACATATTTATGCTATATACAGCATCCTATAACTGGACATTATAAAGGGACATATTTATGCTATATAGAGCATCCTATAACTGGACATTATAAAAGGGACATATTTATGCTATATAGAGCATCCTATAACTGGACATTATAAAGGGACATATTTATGCTATATAGAGCATCCTATAACTGGACATTATAAAGGGACATATTTATGCTATATAGAGCATCCTATAACTGGACATTATAAAGGGACATATTTATGCTATATACAGCATCCTATAACTGGACATTATAAAGGGACATATTTATGCTATATAGAGCATCCTATAACTGGACATTATAAAGGGACATATTTATGCTATATACAGCATCCTATAACTGGACATTATAAAGGGACATATTTATGCTATATAGAGCATCCTATAACTGGACATTATAAAGGGACATATTTATGCTATATACAGCATCCTATAACTGGACATTATAAAGGGACATATTTATGCTATATAGAGCATCCTATAACTGGACATTATAAAGGGACATATTTATGCTATATAGAGCATCCTATAACTGGACATTATAAAAGGGACATATTTATGCTATATAGAGCATCCTATAACTGGACATTATAAAGGGACATATTTATGCTATATAGAGCATCCTATAACTGGACATTATAAAGGGACATATTTATGCTATATAGAGCATCCTATAACTGGACATTATAAAGGGACATATTTATGCTAAATAGAGCATCCTATAACTGGACATTATAAAGGGACATATTATGCTATATAGAGCATCCTATAACTGGACATTATAAAGGGACATATTTATGCTATATAGAGCATCCTATAACTGGACATTAAAGGGACATATTTATGCTATATAGAGCATCCTATAACTGGACATTATAAAGGGACATATTTATGCTATATAGAGCATCCATAACTGGACATTATAAAGGGACAATTATTATGCTATATAGAACATCCTATAACTGGACATTATAAAGGGACATATTTATGCTATATACAGCATCCTATAACTGGACATTATAAAGGGACATATTTATGCTATATAGAGCATCCTATAACTGGACATTATAAAGGGACATATTTATGCTATATACAGCATCCTATAACTGGACATTATAAAGGGACATATTTATGCTATATAGAGCATCCTATAACTGGACATTATAAAGGGACATATTTATGCTATATAGAGCATCCTATAACTGGACATTATAAAGGGACATATTTATGCTATATAGAGCATCCTATAACTGGACATTATAAAGGGACATATTTATGCTATATACAGCATCCTATAACTGGACATTATAAAGGGACATATTTATGCTATATACAGCATCCTATAACTGGACATTATAAAGGGACATATTTATGCTATATAGAGCATCCTATAACTGGACATTATAAAGGGACATATTTATGCTATATACAGCATCCTATAACTGGACATTATAAAGGGACATATTTATGCTATATAGAGCATCCTATAACTGGACATTATAAAGGGACATATTTATGCTATATACAGCATCCTATAACTGGACATTATAAAGGGACATATTTATGCTATATAGAGCATCCTATAACTGGACATTATAAAGGGACATATTTATGCTATATAGAGCATCCTATAACTGGACATTATAAAGGGACATATTTATGCTATATACAGCATCCTATAACTGGACATTATAAAGGGACATATTTATGCTATATACAGCATCCTATAACTGGACATTATAAAGGGACATATTTATGCTATATACAGCATCCTATAACTGGACATTATAAAGGGACATATTTATGCTATATACAGCATCCTATAACTGGACATTATAAAAGGGACATATTTATGCTATATAGAGCATCCTATAACTGGACATTATAAAGGGACATATTTATGCTATATACAGCATCCTATAAGTGGACATTATAAAGGGACATATTTATGCTATATACAGCATCCTATAACTGGACATTATAAAGGGACATATTTATGCTATATAGAGCATCCTATAACTGGACATTATAAAGGGACATATTTATGCTATATAGAGCATCCTATAACTGGACATTATAAAGGGACATATTTATGCTATATACAGCATCCTATAACTGGACATTATAAAGGGACATATTTATGCTATATAGAGCATCCTATAACTGGACATTATAAAGGGACATATTTATGCTATATAGAGCATCCTATAACTGGACATTATAAAGGGACATATTTAAATAAAAATAAAAACAGAGGCCTGGTTAGATCAGTTGCTCGTTGTTTTGTTCAAACATTAAATTGTTCATGTCTATGTCTATGGTCCGCAAATTCGTTGTGTTTTCAATATGGCCCGTGTGCTGATTGAGTTTGACACCCCTGCAGTAAAAGTGCCATTCCCATCCTGGCTGATACACTATATATATATATATATATACAAAAAAAGTATGTGGACACCCCTTACATTTAGTGGATTCGGCTATTTCAGCCACACACGTTGTTGACAGGGTGTATAAACATCGAGCCATGCGATCTCCATAGTGGTTATCGAAAGGGAGAGAGAGCTGGAAAGATTTTTCAAATACATTGAGGAACTATTGTCATTCTCAAATGGATGTAAAAACACTTTGTTTGCTTGTGGTTTGAGGTGAAGAAAACATGACTTTGAGAAGCTCCACAGGTCATTTAGTGGTAGTGCGTTAAGCCAATCAGAAATACAATCAGATCCCCAAATGGGCACATGTATATGTCTACATCTGCATCCAGGCCAGTTAGCCTATAGGTCTACTTCTATGTGTAATCAGGATAACCGTAAATCAGTCCTTACTCAACATTGACAGGAGCGCTCCAAACAAAAGACAATGACTAAATTGACAGAACTCGTAAATGGGATTAAATAAACCAAAACTTGTTTCTCACAAGTGTAGCATAGGTTTTGCACTCTGAAAACAACGTGTCCACTCCGACAACGAGAACAGGAAGACTGGAATAATAATATTGAATGCAGTAAAACAAATGACCGTAACCAAAGTAACAAACATTGTAGATTAGAAATTATAGGAATTAACGGTAAATTGTTTAACACTTTTTTGGTTACTACATGATTCCATGTGTGTTATTTCATAGTTTTGATGTCTTCACTATTATTCTACAATGTAATTTTTTTTATATATATATATATATATATAAAGAAAAACCCTTTTGACTGGTAGTGTATACAGTTGAAGTCGGAAGTTTACATACACTTAGGTTGGAGTCATTAAAACTTGTTTTTCAACCACTCCACAAATTTTTGTTAGCAAACTATAGTTTTGGCAAGTCGGTTAGGACATCTACTTTGTGCATGACACGTAATTTTCCCAACAATTGTTCACAGACAGATTATTTCACTTATAATTCACTGTATCACAATTCCAGTGGGTCAGAAGTTTACATACACTAAGTTGACTGTGCCTTTATACAGCTTGGAAAATTCCAGAAAATGATGTCATGGCTTTAGAAGCTTCTGATAGGCTAATTGACATCATTGAGTCAATTGGAGGTGTACCTGTGGATGTATTTCAAGGCCTACCTTCAAACGCAGTGCCTCTTTGCTTGAAATCATGGGAAAATCAAAATAAATCAGCCAAGACCTCAGAATTTTTTTTGTAGACCTCCACAAGTCTGGTGCATCCTTGGGAGCAATTTCCAAACGCCTGAAGGTACCACGTTCATCTGTACAAACAATAGTACGCAAGTATAAACACCATGGGACCACGCAGCCATCATACCGCTCAGGAAGGAGACGCGTTCTGTCTCCTAGAGATGAACGTACTTTGGTGCGAAAAGTGCAAATCAATCCCAGAACAACAGCAAAGATGCTGGAGGAAACAGGTACAAAAGTATCTATATCCACAGTAAAAGGAGTCCTATATCGACATAACCTGAAAGGCTGCTCAGCAAGGAAGAAGCCACTGCTCCAAAACCACCATAAAAAAGCCAGACTACGGTTTGCAACTGCACATGGGGACAAAGATCGTACTTTTTGGAGAAATGTCCTTTGGTCTGATGAAACAAAAATAGAACTGTTTGACCATAATGACCATCGTTATGTTTGGAGGAAAAAGGGGGGAGCTTGCAAGCTGAAGAACACCATCCCAACCGTGAAGTACGGGGGTGGCAGCATCATGCTGTGGGGGTGCTTTGCTGCAGGAGGGACTGGTGTACTTCACAAAATAGATGGCATGATGAGGAAGGAAAATTATGTGGGTATATTGAAGCAACATCTCAAGACATCAGTCAGGAAGTTAAAGCTTGGTCGTAAATGGGTCTTCCAAATGGACAATGACCCCAAGCATACTTCCAAAGTTGTGGCAAAATGGCTTAAGGACAGCAAAGTCAAGGTATTGGAGTGGCCATCACAAAGCCCTGACCTCAATCCTATAGAAAATGTGTTGGCAGAACTGAAAAAGCGTGTGCGAGCAAGGAGGCCTACAAACCTGACTCAGTTACACCAGCTCTGTCAGGAGGAATGGACCAAAATTCACCCAACGTATTGTGGGAAGCTTGTGGAAGGCTACCTGAAACGTTTGACCCAAGTTAAACAATTTAAAGGCAATGCTACCAAATACTAATTGAGTGTATGTAAACTTCTGACCCACTGGGAATGTGATGAAATAAATAAAAGCTGAAATAAATAATTCTCTCTACTATTATTCTGACATTTCACATTCTTAAAATAAAGTGGTGATCCTAACTGACCTAAGACAGGGAATTTGTACTAGGATTAAATGTCAGGAACTGTGAAAAACTGAGTTTAAATGTATTTGGCTAAGGTGTATGTAAACTTCCGACTTCAACTGTATATATTTGTTACTGCTCCACTAAAACAATCTTGATCGACCAACAGCATAACGACCCAACAATCGACTAATTGGGGCCCTACAGTGCTGTTATTGTGAAGTGGAAACGTCTAGGAGCAACAACGGCTCAGCTGCGAAGTGGTAGTCCACAACAAGCTCACAGAACGGGACCGCCGAGCGCTGAAGCGCATAAAAAAACGTTTGTCCTCGGTTGCAACGAAAAACATTTCTGTTCTCGCTTTCAACACTCACTACTGAGTTCCAAACTGCTTCTGGAAGCAACGTCAGCACAATAACTGTTTGTCGGTAGCTTCATGAAATGGGTTTCCATGGCCGAGCAGCCGCACACAAGCCTAAGATCACCATGCGCAATGCCAAGCGCAGGCTGGAGTGGTGTAAAGCTCACCGCCATTGGACTCTGGAGCAGTGGAAACGTATTCTCTGGAGTGATGAATCACTCTTCACCATCTGGCAGTCCGACGGACAAATCTGGGTTTGGCAGATGCCAGGAGAACGCTACCTGCCCCAATGCATAGTGCCCACTGTACAGTTTTGTGGAGGAGTAATAATGGTCTGGGGCTGTTTTTCATCGTTCGGGCTAGGCCTCTTAGTTCCAGTGAAGGGAAATCTTAACGTTACAGCATACAATTACATTCTAGATAATTCTGTGCTTCCAACTTTGTGGCAACTGTTTGGGGAAGGCCCTTTCCCGTTTCAGCATGACAATGCCCCCGTGCACAAAGCGAGGTCCATACAGAAATGGTTTGTCGAGATCAGTGTGGAAGAACTTGACTGGCCTGCACAGAGCCCTAACCTCAACCCCATCGAACACCTTTGGGATGAATTGGAACGCCGACTGCGAGCCAGGCCCAATCACCCAACATCTAGTGGAAAGCCTTCCCAGAAGAGTGGAGGCTGTTATAGCATCAAAACGGGGGGCCAACTCCATATTAATGCCCATGATGTTGGACTGAGATGTTGACCAGCAGGCGTCCACATACTGTTGGGCATGTAGTGGGTGTTGATTTTGTATTTGATTCATAAAATATTTTAAAACTGTGCCTAAATAAATTACATGAACAGAAATTATTTGAAATTAATTTCCATTACTTTTCCAGGCCTGGAAAAAAAAAAACTTGTTCAAATGCCATGTCTTTTTCAGGATTTTCATGACCGTACGAACCCTGACATCTGTCAACTTTAAGAAAGAAATGGGTCACAGACACAGTCATGTTCAGTGGATAGATAGCAGAAGCTCCTACCTGTGGCAGTAGTGGCCGTGTTGGTCGTCCCCGTCTCATGCGTTTCACACGGAGGATTGGAACACACCCTCTGGACCGTGCCCGTTCCTGTCCCTGTTCCCGCCAGGTTGGACGTAGCCTGAGACGGGGTGTTGGTCGTCCCTGTCTCATGCGTTTCACACGGAGGATTGGAACACACCCTCTGGACCGTGCCCGTTCCTGTCCCTGTTCCCGCCAGGTTGGACGTAGCCTGAGACGGGGTGTTGGTCGTCCCCGTCTCATGCGTTTCACACGGAGGATTGGAACACACCCTCTGCACTGTCCCTGTAGTCTGTCCACTGCCCATACTGGAGTTGGCCTGCGTCGAGGTAGTGGTGGTGTCTGTCTGGTGCGTTTCATAGCGTGGACTGGAGCACACAGGAGAGGTGAGGGGGGACCCTCCTCCACAACCGCTGGACGATTTGCTCTGGCTGTCGGAGGACGAGGAGCCGAGACTCATCCCCATCTTATCAGAGCCCATGTTAGAGCGGGCGGTGGTGGAGGTGTAGGTGGTCCCTGTTCTCAGGGTCTCTGGTCGCAGCACCCCCGGCGCAGACACGGCCCCGGAGACAGACGAGGGGGAGAGGGCTCCGGAGGAGGAGGGGGCCGGAGAGGACGGAGGATCAGACCCACTGGGGTTAGTTATGCAGGAACCTTGCTGTTGCTTGTCGGACCCCATGTTACAGCTGGCAGTGGTCGGGGTGTTGGTCGTGCCTGTATCGTGGGTCTCTGACGGGGGGTTGGTGCACAGCTGCTGTACCTGGCCCATGTTGGAGGACGCCGTCGTTTGAGTATTGGTGGTGCCGGTCTCGTGGGTTTCACACGGCGGGTTTGAACACACCCTCTCCACCCCACCATTACCGGTCATGTTAGCGGAGGCCGTGGTAGCCGTATTGGTGGTGCCGGTCTCGTGGGTTTCACACGGCGGGTTTGAACACACCATCTCCACCCCACCATTACCGGTCATGTTAGCGGAGGCCGTGGTAGCTGTATTGGTGGTGCCGGTCTCGTGGGTTTCACACGGCGGGTTTGAACACACCCTCTCCACCCCACCATTACCGGTCATGTTAGCGGAGGCCGTGGTAGCCGTATTGGTGGTGCCGGTCTCGTGGGTCTCGCAGGGCGGGTTAGAGCAGACCAGGGTCACCGTGGAGGAGGGGTCAGCGGAGGTGGGGGAGGACATGATGGAGACAGGAAGGTCATGGACAGGCTGAGCCTCCACGCCGCTGGGGGTCGTGATCAAGGTCACCTGGGTGGCCTGGCCTCCGGAGAGGGAAGTGCCACAGTGGGGAGACATGAAGACAAACGGTCAATGTCAGCTGGCTTCCCCCAGGGCGTATCAAGGTCAGCTGCTCCTGCTAGACAGCGATCAAAGTACAGTTTAATCTAAACTGCTATAAAGTCAGTTTGGATATCTCTAAATGGAATCAAATAATGTTATGCTCTCTACCAGGGTTTTCATAAAGAGTTGCGTGCTGTCCCACTTTCAAAGTCAGCTTGCTGTCTCACCAGGCGTATCAAAGTCAGCTTGCTGTCTAACATGTGTATCAAAGTCAGCTTGCTGTTTTCCCAGGCGTATCAAGGTCAGCTTGCTGTCTTCAAGGCGTATCAAAGTAATCTTGCTGTCTCACCCAGGCGTTCCAAAGTCAGCTTGCTGTCTTCCCAGGCGTATCAAGTCAGCTTGCTGTCTTCAAAGGCGTATCAAAGTCAGCTTGCTGTCTAACATGTGTATCAAAGTCAGCTTGCTGTCTTCCCAGGCGTATCAAGGTCAGCTTGCTGGTCAAGCTTGCTGTCTCCCAAAGGCGTAGCCAAGGTCAGCTGCTGTCTAACATGCGTATCAAAAGTCAGCTTTGCCTGGTCTTCCCAGGCGTATCAAAGGTCAGCTTGCTGTCTCCCAAGGCGTAATCAAAGGTCAGCTGTTGCTGTCTCAACGGCATGTTTATCAAAGGTCAGCTTGCTGTCTTCCCAGGCGTATCAAGGTCAGCTTGCTGTCTCCAAAGGCGTATCAAGGTCAGCTTGCTGTCTTCAAAGGCGTATCAAAGTCAGCTTGCTGTCTTCAAAGGCGTATCAAAGTCAGCTTGCTGTCTCCCAGGCGTATCAAGGTCAGCTTGCTGTCTTCCCAGGCGTATCAAAGTCAGCTTGCTGTCTAACATGCGTATCAAAGTCAGCTTGCTGTCTAACATGCGTATCAAAGTCAGCTTGCTGTCTAACATGCGTATCAAAGTCAGCTTGCTGTCTCCCCAGGCGTATCAAAGTCAGCTTGCTGTCTCCCAGGCGTATCAAAGTCAGCTTGCTGTCTCCCAGGCGTATCAAAGTCAGCTTGCTGTCTCCCAGGCGTATCAAAGTCAGCTTGCTGTCTCCCAGGCGTATATGCCACCAGGACAAGCTAAGCAGCTAATTTAAATGGGAGTCAACCCATTCCAAGTATTAATGACGACAGTATGCATCTGTACCAAACTGATTACAACCTGTCCTGGTCTGACATAACAAATGTGGTAGATAAGACACTACGGCTGCGTATACAAAGGCAGACAATTCTGATCGATTTATTCACCAATTGGACTTTTAACCAACTAGAGCAGCTCTTTTGCCAATAATTGGGCAAAAGTTCAGAATTGGGCTGCCTGTGTAAATCAAATCAAATGTTATTTGCAACATGCGCCGAATACAACAGGTGTAGACCTTACAATGAAATGCTTACTTACAAGCCCTTAACCAACAATGCAGTTTTAAGAAAAATAAGTGTTAAGTAAAAAAATAGATAGAAAATAAAAATGCATGCTTCAGTGTTGCTTGCCTCCAAGCGAGCATAGAAGTGGTTTAGCTCGACTGGTAGGCTCGTGTCATTGGGCAGCTCGCGGCTGTGCTTCCTTTTGTAGTCCGTAATAGTTTTCAAGCCCTGCCACATCCGACGAGCGTCAGAGCCAGTGTAGTACGATTCAATCTAAGTCCTGTATTGACGCTTTGCCCGTTTGATGGTTTGTCGGAGGGCATAGCGGGATTTCTTATAAGCGTCCGGGTTAGAGTCCCGCTCCTTGAAAGCGGCAGCTCTACCCTTTAGCTCAGTGCGGATGTTGCCTGTAATCCATGGCTTCTGGTTGGGGTATGTATGTACAGTCACTGTGGGGACGACGTCATCGACGCACTTATTGATGAAGCCAGTGACTGATGTGGTGTACTCCTCAATGCCATCGGAAGAATCCCGGAACATATTCCAGTCTGTGCTAGCAAAACAGTCCTGTAGCTTAGCATCTGCGTCATCTGACCACTTCTGAGCGAGTCACTGGTACTTCCTGCTTTAGTTATTGCTTGTAAGCAGGAATCAGGAGGACAGAATTATGGTCAGATTTGCCAAATGGAGGGTGAGGGAGAGCTTTGTATGCATCTCTGTGTGTGGAGTAAAGGTGGTCCAGAGTTTTTTTTCCTCTGGTTGCACATTTAACATGCTGGTAGAAATGAGGGAAAACGGATTTAAGTTTCCCTGCATTAAAGTCCCCGGCCGCCTCTGGATGAGTGTTTTCCTGTTTGCTTATGGCCTTATACAGCTCGTTGAGTGCGGTCTTAGCGCCAGGATCAGTTTGTGGTGGTAAATAGACAGCTACGAAAAATATAGATGAAAACTCTCTTGGTAAATAGTGTGGTCTACAGCTTATCATAAGATACTCTACCTCAGGCGAGCAAAACCTTGACTTCCTTAATATTAGATTTTGTGCACCAGCTGTTGTTTACAAATATACACAGACCGCCACCCCTTGTCTTACCGGAGGCAGCTGTTCTATCTTGCCGATGCACCGAAAACCCCGCTAGCTGTATGTTATCCATGTCGTCATTCAGCCACGACTCGGTGAAACATAAGATATTACAGTTTATAACGTCCCGGTGGTAGGATATTCTTGATCGGAGCTCATCCATTTTATTATCCAATGATTGTACGTTGGCTAAAAGGACTGATGGTAGAGGCAGATCACCCACTCGCCGTCGGCTCATTACAAGGCACCCCGACCTACGTCCCCGATATCACCGTCTCTTCTTCATGTGAATGACGGGAATTTGGGCCTTGTCGGGTGTCGGAAGTAGATCCTTCGCGTCCGACTCCTTAAAGAAAAAATATTGGTCCAGTACGAGGTGAGTAATCGCTGTCCTGAAATCCAGAAGCTATTTTTCGGTCATAAGAGACGGAGGCAGAAACATTATGTACAAAATAAGTTACAAATAACGCGAAAACACACACACACACTCAATTGGTTAGGAGCCGGTAAAAACGGCAGCCATCTCCTCCGGCGCCATTGAACTGTACATCGTCTACATAAACTGTACCTGGGCTGCGGAGACAGTGACCTGTCCAGGCAGGGTCGTCATGGTGCCCAAGGTGGTGATGGGAGTAGCGCTGGCAACACTTCCTCCTGCCAGGCTGGTCGACACTGTGCCAGTCACTGTACCCAACGTAGTCACACCTGGTCAGAGGGAGAACATTGATTTATTAATTGATTGATTGCTATTGGTAGCGCTAACAGACATGTAAGTCGCTCTGGATAAGAGTGTCTGCTAAATGACTTAAATGTAAATTGTACCTAAGCTAGTCTAATGGGACTGATGCTGCAAAACAGCACAAGCTAAAGCATGATGGTGACTGTTGATAAATAATAATAATAATAATAATAATAATAATAATAATAAGCCATTTAGCAGACGCTTTTATCCAAAGCGACTTACAGTCATGCGTGCATAAATTTTTTGTGTATGGGTGGTCCCGGGGATCGAACCCACTACCCTGGCGTTACAAGCGCCGTGCTCTGCCAGTTGAGCTACAGAGAACCACATTGATGATTCAATGTGTCTCTAACTAAATCATTTTCAGGACCATAAATTAGACATGACTTGCAAAGCTGTGATTATCACTGAGCTCCTTACCTGTGGTTCCCTTGACGACCAGGGTGGTGACGTTAGGTTTGACACCGGAAACAGTTACCGGGGAGACGAGACGTACACCTCCCATGGGGACGGTCCGTAAAATAGTACCGGGCTGTCCGGGGGCACCCTTCAGCACCACCTGGTAGAAACATCATAACAACCTGTTAGATACATAGAGCTATTAGAGGCGCCATCAAACCACTACAACTCATCCAGAATGCCGCAGCCCATCTGGTGTTCAACCTTCCGAAGTTCTCTCACGTCACCCCGCTCCTCCGCACACTCCACTGGCTTCCAGTTGAAGTTCGCATCTGCTACAAGACCATGGTGCTTGCCTACGGAGCTGTGAGGGGAACGGCACCGCCTTTCCTTCAGGCTCTGATCAGACCCTACAGCCAAACGAGGGCATTGCGTTCATCCACCTCTGGCCTGCTGGCCCCCATACCTCTGTGGAAGCACAGTTCCCGCTCAGCCCAGTCAAAACTGTTCGCTGCTCTGGCACCCCAATGGTGGAACAAGCTCCCTCACGACGCCAGGACAGCGGAGTCACTCACCACCTTCCGGAGACATTTGAAACCCCACCTCTTTAAGGAATACCTGGGATAGGATAAAGTAATCCTTCTACCCCACCCAAAAAAATTACAAAATTAAAAATAAACATATTGTAAAGTGGTTATCCCACTGGCTATAAAAGGTGAATGCACCAATTTGTAAGTCGCTCTGGATAAGAGCGTCTGCTAAATGACTAAAATGTAAATGTTATATACAGTAAAATATTCACAGGCCAGGGGCAACATTTGAAGCACCACCTGGTAGAAACAGAGGATGTACAGTGGGGGAAAAAAGTATTTAGTCAGCCACCAATTGTGCAAGTTCTCCCACTTAAAAAGATGAGAGAGGCCTGTAATTTTCATCATAGGTACACGTCAACTATGACAGACAAATTGAGATTTTTTTCCTCCGAAAATCACATTGTAGGATTTTTAATGAATTTATTTGCAAATTATGGTGGAAAATAAGTATTTGGTCACCTACAAACAAGCAAGATTTCTGGCTCTCACAGACCTGTAACTTCTTCTTTAAGAGGCTCCTCTGTCCTCCACTCGTTACCTGTATTAATGGCACCTGTTTGAACTTATCAGTATAAAAGTCACCTGTCCACAACCTCAAACAGTCACACTCCAAACTCCACTATGGCCAAGACCAAAGAGCTGTCAAAGGACACCAGAAACACAATTGTAGACCTGCACCAGGCTGGGAAGACTGAATCTGCAATAGGTAAGCAGCTTGGTTTGAAGAAATCAACTGTGGGAGCAATTATTAGGAAATGGAAGACATACAAGACCACTGATAATCTCCCTCGATCTGGGGCTCCACGCAAGATCTCACCGCGTGGGGTCAAAATGATCACAAGAACGGTGAGCAAAAATCACAGAACCACACGGGGGGACCTAGTGAATGACCTGCAGAGAGCTGGGACCAAAGTAACAAAGCCTACCATCAGTAACACACTACGCCACCAGGGACTCAAATCCTGCAGTGCCAGACGTGTCCCCCTGCTTAAGCCAGTACATGTCCAGGCCCATCTGAAGTTTGCTAGAGTGCATTTGGATGATCCTGAAGAGGATTGGGAGAATGTCATATGGTCAGATGAAACCAAAATATAACTTTTTGGTAAAAACTCAACTCGTCGTGTTTGGAGGACAAAGAATGCTGAGTTGCATCCAAAGAACACCATACCTACTGTGAAGCATGGGGGTGGAAACATCATGTTTGGGGCTGTTTTTCTGCAAAGGGACCAGGACGACTGATCCGTGTAAAGGAAAGAATGAATGGGGCCATGTATCGTGAGAGTTTGAGTGAAAACCTGCTTCCATCAGCAAGGGCATTGAAGATGAAACGTGGCTGGGTCTTTCAGCATGACAATGATCCCAAACACACCGCCCGGCAACGAAGGAGTGGCTTCGTAAGAAGCATTTCAAGGTCCTGGAGTGGCCTAGCCAGTCTCCAGATCTCAACCCCATAGAAAATCTTTGGAGGGAGTTGAAAGTCCGTGTTGCCCAGCGACAGCCCCAAAACATCACTGCTCTAGAGGAGATCTGCATGGAGGAATGGGCCAAAATACCAGCAACAGTGTGTGAAAACCTTGTGAAGACTTACAGAAAACGTTTGACCTGTGTCATTGCCAACAAAGGGTATATAACAAAGTATTGAGAAACTTTTGTTATTGACCAAATACTTATTTTCCACCATAATTTGCAAATAAATTCATTAAAAATCCTATAATGTGATTTTCTGCAAAAAAATTCTCATTTTGTCTGTCATAGTTGACGTGTACCTATGATGACAATTACAGGCCTCTCTCATCTTTTTAAGTGGGAGAACTTGCACAATTGGTGGCTGACTAAATACTTTTTTTCCCCACTGTATACATGCACAAGACAGGTAATATAAGCACATCAAACGTATTTCCTTGAGCAAGGCTCTTATGTGTTATGAAACGTAAAATAACTTTTTTTTTGTACAGGTTGTTGTCAAAAGTTGAGAATGACGCAAATACAAATTTTCACAAAGTCTGCTGCCTCAGTTTTGATGATGGCAATTTGCATATACTCCAGAATGTCATGGAGTGATCAGATGAATTGCAATGAATTGCAAAGTCCCTCTTTGCCATGAAAATGAACTTAATCCCCAAAAAACTTTCCCACTGCATTTCAGCCCTGCCACAAAAGGACCAGCTGCCATCATGTCAGTGATTCTCTCGTTAACACAGGTGAGAGTGTTGACGAGGACAAGGCTGGAGATCACTCCGTCATGCTGATTGAGTCAGAATAACAGACTGGAAGCTTTAAAAGGAGGGTGGTGCTTGAAATCATTGTTCTTCGTCGGTTAACCATGGTTACCTGCAAGGAAACATGTGCCGTCATCATTGCTTTGCACAAAAAGGTCTTCACAGGCAAGGATATTGCTGCTAGTAAGATTGCACCTAAACCAACCATTTATCGGTTCATCAAGAACTTCAAGGAGAGAGGTTCAATTGTTGTGAAGAAGGCGTCAGGGCGCCCAAGAAAGTCCAGCAAGCGCCAGGACCGTCTCCTAAAGTTGATTCAGCTGCGGGATCGGGGCACCACCAGTGCAGAGCTTGCTCAGGAATGGCAGCAGGCAGATTTGAGTGCATCTGCACGCACAGTGAGGCAAAGACATTTGGAGGATGGCCTGGTGTCAAGAAGGGCAGAAAAGAAGCCACTTCTCTCCAGGAAAAACATCAGGGACAGACTGATATTCTGCAAAAGGTACAGGGATTGGACTGCTGAGGACTGGGGTAAAGTCATTTTCTCTGATGAATCCCCTTTCCGATTGTTTGGGGCATCCGGAAAACACCTTGTCCGGAGAAGACCAGGTGAGCACTACCATCAGTCCTGTGTCATGCCAACAGTAAAGCATCCTGAGACCATTCATGTGTGGGGTTGCTTCTCAGCCAAGGGAGTGGGCTCACTCACATTTCTGCCTAAGAACACAGCCATGAATAAAGAATGGTCCCAACACATCCTCCGAGAGCAACTTCTCCCAACCATCCAAGAACAGTTTGGTGACGACCAATGCCTTTTCCAGCATGATGGAGCACCTTGCCATAAGGCAAAAGTGATAACTAAGTGGCTCGGGGAACAAAACATTGACATTTTGGGTCCATGGCCAGGAAACTCCCCAGACCTTAATCCCATTGAGAACTTGTGGTCAATCCTCAAGAGGCGGGTGGACAAACAAACACCCACTAATTCTGACAAACTCCAAGCATTGATTATGCAAGAATGGGCTGCCATCAGTCAGGATGTGGCCCAGAAGTTAATTGACAGCATGCCAGGGCGGATTGCAGAGGTCTTGAAAAAGAAGGGTCAACACTGCAAATATTGACTCTTTGCATAAACTTAATGTAATTGTCAATAAAAGCCTTTGACACTTATGGAATGCTTGTAATTATAATTCAGTATACCATAGTAACATCTGACAAAAAATCTCATAACACTGAAGCAGCGAATTTCGTGAAGACCAATACTTGTGTCATTCTCAAAACTTTTGACCACGACTGTATATAACTGCCTTAATGTTGCTGGACCCCAGGAAGAGTAGCTGCTGCCTTGGCAGGAACTAATGGGGATCCATAATAAACCCCAGGAAGAGTAGCTGCTGCCTTGGCAGGAACTAATGGGGATCCATAATAAACCCCCAGGAAGAGTAGCTGCTGCCTTGGCAGGAACTAATGGGGATCCATAATAAACACAAATAACCACAATTGCTCTCCATCCAGGGTTAAAGGCTTAAGGTTAAAGGCAGAAGGCAAAATGTCTAACCAATGGACAATAATTCAGGTGCTGGAAAAACAAAATGTGTAACAAATAACGTGTCCACGACTTAAGGACAGGTACCAATTTAGAAATTAATATTAGTGTTTTCAAAAAGTAAACATAAAAAAAATGTCAAAAATGTATCTATTCTCATATTTTCTTTAGTTTATCGTACTACCATCACCATTTGAATGCATTTTAAACACTTTAAATCAATCATTTCTAAGCTGACTACATTAAAATGGCACAATTTAAAAAGCCCATTTCATAGCATGTTACGAACTGCACTACAGTATATTTAGTAACTTACTTTGACGCGTTAGTGATGGGTCTAAATAGGCGGTTGGTAGTCTAAAGTCAGTGTACTTGTCTTAACAGTCTAGAGTCTTAACAGTCTAGAGTCTAAAGGGGGGGGGGTTCTACTAAGCTAACATATGGAATTGTTTTAAGATGGTCATGTCAAGGATAATTTTACCTCTTATTTTGGGCACTAAACTATCTCCATATATACACTTCCATTCATTTTTTTCAACAGGTCCCGGGGAGTCTTGTGAGGCTTGTGGGCATCCTAGAACAACCGACATGTAGGCGTTTGTGTGAGACTGACCTTTCCACAGAGGGGTCACAGAGGGGTCACAGAGGAGTCACAGAGGGGTCACAGAGGGGTCATATTACTGTTTGGACGCTACAGCCAGAAGTTGGCAGAAGAAGTTGTACCGACTTCAGACAAGTCCCGTGTCGTTTGTGTGTGTGTGTGTGTGTGTGTGTGGGGGGGGGGGGGGGTCGTAGAGCAAACCATTGTGTTCGTGAGAGTCTCATCTTTCCACAGAGGGGTCATAATAGTTTTTAGGCCAAACCGTTCCGACACTTTAGACGTTTTTTGTGAGACCGATTTTCGGGATCGCTCATGATCTGACAAACAACACTCTAGCTGACGCCTTTCATCGCAGATGCGGAAGGGGGATATCGGCAAATTGAGACACAAAAAAACATATCTCTAGCTTAAAACAGGCGATTTTTTACATTATTATGTTAAATTAGATTTCCGCTGGGCCACGGAAATTGTAGAAAAAAGATTAACTGCCATTTCCCAAAAGTCAGACTCTTTCCAGACGCCAACTCATTTTTCTCAGCTTTAGAAGAGTCCACATTCAACACATTGGTGTGATTATCCTTAGATATATTCTCCAGACTTACTCAGCGGGAATTGTTGATATGTTGTACATTTTATCTTTAGTATTTTAAAAAGATTTTTAAAAAGTTTATCCACAATTTGCTCTTGTCCAGTTCTAAAGTGTATTAACAAAATGAAATCAAAATATTTAGGCTGACTTCATCCAGTGTCGGGAAAAATGCATTTGCGTGATATGCAAATATGTGCATATTTAATGAGATACAGTGCCTTCAGAAAGGCCATTCAAACCCCTTTTCCCAGATTTTGTTGTACTGCTGCTTGAATTTAAAATGGATTAAATTGAGATGTGGTCGTCACTGGTCTACACACACACACACACACACACACACACACACACACACAATACCCCATAATGTTAAAGTGGAATTGTGTGTTTTTTATTTATTTTACAAATGAAAAGCTGAAATGTCTTGAGTCAGTAAGTATTCAACCCCTTTGTTATGGCAATTCTAAATAATCCCGCAGTCGAGCAGTGTATTTTAAAACACAGATTCAACCACAAATACGAGGGAGGTTTTCCAATGCCTGGCAAAGAAGGGCGATGGGTAAAAAAAACAAAAAAAACAGACATTGAATATCCCTTTGAGCACGGTGAAGTTATTAATTACACTTTGGATGGTGTATCAACACACCCAGTAACTACAAAGATACAGGCCTCCTTCCTAACTCAGTTGCCGGAGAGGAAGGAAACCGCTCAGGGATTTCAGCACGAGGCCAATGGTGACTTTAAAAAACAGCAATCTAGCAATGACCAACAACCAATTTGACAGAGCTTGAAGACATTTTAAAATAATATTAAGACAAAATGTTGCACGATCCAGGTGTGGAAAGCTCTTAGCTGTAATCGCTGCCAAAAGGTGATTCAACAAAGTATTGACTCAAGGGTGTGAATACTTATGTAAATTTGATATTTCAATAAAATGTATAAAACCATGTTTTCACTTGGTCATTATAGGCTATTGTGTGTTGCTCTATTTAATCCATTTTGAATTATGGCTGTAACAACACGGAATAAGTCAAGGGGTATAAATACTTTCTGAATGCACTTGTATATCCTCATTTGCATATTTTAAAATATTTCAGAATTTTGTTTATACAAAAAAGTATTATACTTTTGTCTACATTCAGCTGGTAAAAGTTGATTGTGATATGATTAGGGGAAAACATGTACCTATGATTAGGGGAAAACATGTACCTATGATTAGGGGAAAACATGTACCTATGATTAGGGGAAAACCTATGAGGGTGTGATGCCTGGCTTTAATGTCTCTCAGGGGAGTCTGCTTCAGGGAAATAATTTCACTATTTGAATAATAGCATTAGATCGAAATAAGTGTACAAAAAATTAAAAAAATAAATATATATATATATCTAACTTGCTGTGCAGCTTGCGCGACTCGGGAGAGACGGTGCAGCTCTGCTTGCTGCTGCAGCAGGGAGTAGCAGGGGTCGGGGTGTTTGACGCGGGAGGGAGAAAGGAGCCATTCTGACTGGGGCTAGTTAGCTTGTAGATTGCCAAAGTTACTTCTTGGGCGGCAGGCAGCTTAGTGGGTAAGAGCGTTGTGCCAGCAACCGAAAGGTCGCTGGTTCTAATCTCCGAGCCGACTAGCCGAAAAATCTGTCTATGTGCCCTTGAGCAAGGCACTTAACCCTAACTGCTCCTGTAAGTCGCTCTGGATAAGAGCGTCTGCTAAATGACTAAAATGTAAATGTAAACTTCTCATCCCATCTGGTAGTGCCGGTCTTTACTGCATCAAATCGATCTAAAGAAGCTAGCTAAGACAGCGATGTCACATAGATCAATGTTTAGACAAAGCCTTTTCATTGTTAAAATAGGCCAATGATTTTCTTTTTTCTTTCAAAAAATGAATACTCAAATGTATTCTAATATTACCGTCCGTTTGGGTATTCAAATAACCGTGCCCATCCCTAATATATGCTTCACATTGTATTGCATGTTTTTGCACCATCTTTTTTCTGCTTATACAACAATGCGTCTGCAGCATTTTACAATGTTAGTTTTACTAACGTGAGCCACTCATGTTATGACCTTTTTCATAAAAGGGTTATGAATGACTTTGTACACCCCCTTTACCTGTGTGAGTCCCTGCTGGCCAGCCCCAGCTCTGGGCATAGCGCTGATGATCTTGCCTGGAGTCCCGGTGCCTGGTGTCATCATCTTAGTGGTGATGATGGTAATGGGGGACTTCATACCACTGCCAGTCACTCCTGACCAGACAACAGATTAAACACATACAGAGGTTCAAGTTCTATGTAGTAGGCAGGGTAAACCGATTTCTGGTATATCAACAAAATAAATAAAATCACAACATGCTTTTGGACTCATTCAGCAGTTCCCTGACGAAGCACAATACCATTGGAAATTAATGTTGAAAATTACAAAATGTATAGCCACAGATAGAACAAGGAGCCAGACATTTCACCGGATGTATTAACCTGAAGAATTCGGTTGGAATTTCCACTCCTCACCAAATATGGTGATGAAGGGAAGCCCAGCGGACGGCAGCGGGAGAAGATGGAGCGAGAAACGGGCCAAAGATCTACTCATTCTTATGGAAGAAAATCCCAACCTCAATACAGTTTTCTGTTCCCAATAGGGATGTGACAAGTGGCATTTTTTTTCTTAATGTTTAAACTGCATTTTTGGGGGGTATGACCACTAGGGGGCGATAAGGTTCTACCACAGTCTTACAGTAGGCTCAGGCATTTGGAATCTGCTTTGTGGCAGGTGAAACTGTCCCGAAGACAACCGTTAATTGACATTTGCCTCTAGTGTTCCTGACATTTGCCTCTAGTGTTCCTGACATTTGCCTCTAGTGTTCCTGACATTTGCCTCTAGTGTTCCTGACATTTGCCTCTAGTGTTCCTGACATTTGTTATGTGCATTAGCGACTCACAACAAAAACGTTGCTGTTAAAACATGACATCAAACCCGTTTCCTGGGGTCTCCACCGAACCAGGTAAATCCGCTTTTAGTTTTAAAAGCACCTCATTGCTGGAACAAACTATACAATACATTACAATAAGATGTTCTGGTGCCACTCTGGCAATTTAATATATTCTTATTGAGAAATGTAATTGTTTTTCTTGAGTATTGGTGTTGTGCTGTATTCGACTGCTTTTACATTGTATTACGATTTTGTCACTGTATATGCAGGGCTCCCTGTGAAAGAGACCCTGGTCTCAATGGTGACTCCCTGCTTAAATAAAAAGTTTACAAAATATATATATTAATTTGAAAGATGCATATCCGCTAACTAACATTACAGCCTTCTTGCATTAGGTAGGCTTATTTGTAAAAAAACAAACAAAAATTCATTTGATGATGGGGACCTGTTAATGGTAGTTTTGTGATAACTGCACTATGATTTAAATTCTGGAGAAAAAAAAACAAAAAAAGTTATTCGGTTTGGGATTTTTTCTTACTGTTAATGATTCAATTTCATTTAAAACGTATTATGCGCTAATGAAAGTACCACACCTCAAACCACATGGAAACTGGATATATTTTGACATCACTGGTTAGACCTGCAGAACACAGACAGCTACATTTTGATACGGGGGTCACCAAAACAGAAACGCAACACTGTTTCATCAATCACTCCCATCGATTATTACGTTGGAATCAATTACGTTAAAACAGCTCAAAAACCACACGGAATCTAGGAATAATGTGTACATCACTGGTTAGAAGACAATATATAAAAGAAAGTTAGCTACATTTTGAAGTGTTGCATTTTGATTCAAGTCACCAATGCAACACTTTTTTTGTTAATCACTTCCATCGATGCCACGCTGAAATCAATAGAACAGGGGGCAAACGTTTGGGGTGTGGCGCTGTTTAAACTAACACGATTCAAAGGCCACATGGGAACTTGGAATAACCTATACATTGTTGGTTAGATGAGAACTTGCAGAAGGCTTATATCTACACTACCGTTCAAAAGTTTGGGGTCACTTAGAAATGTCCTTGTTTTCCATGAAAACATACATGAAATGAGTTTGAATAGGAAATATAGCAAAATGCAGTCAATGACAAGGTTAGAAATAATGATTTTTAATTGAAATAATAATTGTGTCCTTCAAATGTTGCTTTCGTCAAAGAATCCTCCATTTGCAGCAATTACAGCCTTGCAGACCTTTGGCATTGTAGTTGTCAATTTGTTGAGGTAATCTGAAGAGATTTCACCCCATGCTTCCTGAAGCACCTCCCACAAGTTGGATTGGCTTGATGGGCACTTCTTACGTACCATACGGTCAAGCTGCTCCCACAACAGCTCAATAGGGTTAAGATCCGGTGACTGTGCTGGCTACTCCATTATAGACAGAATACCAGCTGACTGCTTCTTCCCTAAATAGTTATTGCATAGTTTGGAGCTGTGGTTTGGGTCATTGTCCTGTTGTAGGAGGAAATTGGCTCCAATCAAGCGCCGTTCACAGATTATGGCATGGCGTTGCTAAATGGAGTGATAGCCTTCCTTCTTCAAGATCCCTTTTACCCTGCACAAATCTCCCACTTTACCACCACCAAAGCACCCCCAGGCCATCACATTGCCTCCACCATGCTATACAGATGGCATCAAGCACTCCTCCATCATCTTTTCATTTGGTCTGCGTCTCACAAATGTTCTTCTTTGTGATCCGAACACCTCAAACTTCGATTAGTCTGTCCATAACACTTTTTTCCAATCTTCCTCTGTCCAGTGTCTGTTCTTTTGCCCATCTTAATATTTTCTTTTTATTGGCCAGTCTGAGATATGGCTTTTTCTTTGCAACTCTGCCTAGAAGGTCAGCATCCCGGAGTCGCTTCTTCACTGTTGACGTTGAGACTGGTGTTTTGCGGGTACTATTTAATGAAGCTGCCAGTTGAGGACCTGTGAGGCGTCTGTTTCTCAAACTAGACACTAATGTATTTGTCCTCTTGCTCAGTTGTGCACCGGGGCCTCCCACTCCTCTTTCTATTCTGGTTAGAGTCAGTTTGCGCTGTTCTGTGAAGGGAGTAGTACACAGCGTTATACGAGATCTTCAGTTTCTTGGCAATTTCTCGCATGGAAAAGCCTTCATTTCTCAGAACAAGAATAGACTGACGAGTTTCAGAAGAAAGTTATTTGTTTCTGGCCATTTTGAGCCTGTAATCAAACCCACAATTGCTGATGCTCCAGATACTCAACTAGTCTCCAGAAGGCCAGTTTTATTGCTTCTTTAAATCGGCACAACAGTTTTCAGCTGTGCTAACATAATTGCAAAAGAGTTTTCTAATGATCAATTAGCCTTTTAAAATGATAAACTTGGATTAGCAAACACAATTTGCCATTGGAACACAGGACTGATGGTTGCTGATAAATGGGCCTCTGTAGATATTCCATTTTTTTTAAATCAGCCGTTTCCAGCTACAATAGCCATTTACAACATTAACAATGTCTACACTGTATTTCTGATCAATTTGATGTTATTTTAATGGACAAAAAATTTGCTTTTCTTTAGAAAACAATGACATTTCTATGTGACACCAAACTTTTGAACGGTAGTGTATATTTTGGAATGTCGGATGTTGATTTCGGGAGACAGCCATCACAGAAAATGGAACAGACCACTTTCTCTGTTAGTTAACTTAAACCAATCACGACGCGGCATAGGATTTCAGCAGTGACAACGGTTGGCTGCTATTTTAAGTGATAGTTTGACTGTCAAATCCATGCATTGGTGTGTGGCAAGATACTTTTTTGAGAGACCGCCCCCCCGGAATGTTCTGTGCCATTTGAAAGTTCGAAAATTAACTGAGCGGTCCAACATCATAAAGGCTCCAGACCTACGGCTGACAAACTCATTTGATTGACAGGTTCATTGATTTGAATGATTGATAGGTAGGAAGCAGACAGACCTGTTTGTCCGACGGTGGACATGGGTATGGTCTTGATGATGTGTGTGCCAGGCTTGGAGGTGGGCACACCGCTGTAGGACAGGATGGTGGGCTTGCCCCCCACGGTGCCCCCGGCCTTGGAAGTGGTGATGATGGTGGTGGGCTTGCCGTCGGCTGATGTCACCAGCTTCAGGATAGTACCTGCAGGGAGAGGACCCTTCGTCTGGGGGGACAGGAAGAAGAGAGAGAGAGGGGGGTCAGAGGTGAAGATGAGAGGTGGAAGCTGACGTACATCAATGCTACACTTTGTGAAATAGAGCCCCACTTTGTAGTTGGTGTTTTTGTGGTGCTTCGAGACAGATTATACTTCCTGTTGTTCTATGCATAAAGACAACAAGCACTGACTATTTCAGCTTGGTAGACAGTTGGAGACCTCTTTTTTCTATACATCCGACATAGACAGAATTTTCCACAAGTTCTCAAACCACAGGGACTATGGATAAGAATCAGCTGTCGACGTACATCCAACAATACGTTGTTGATCATTGTGTACTGACCCTGCCACATACCTGATATAACTAAATGCAATACTGTACTGTATTACAGCACATTCGTAAAGTATTCAGACCCCTTGACTTTCTCCACATTTTGTTACCTTACAGCCTTATTCTAAAAAGGATTAAATTGAAATTTTTCCTACTCAATCTACCTACACACAATACCCCATAATGACGAAGTGAAAACAGATGTAGACATTTTTGCAAATGTATTAAGAATAAAAAAACAGAAATACCTTATTACATAAGTATTCAGACCCTTTGCTATGAGACTCTAAATTGAGCTCAGGTGAATCCTGTTTCGATTGATCATCCTTGAGATGTTTCTACAACTTGATTGGAGTCCAGCTGTGGTAAATTCAATTGATTGGACATGATTTGGAAAGGCACACAACGGTCTATATAAGGTCCCACAGTTGACAGTGCATGTCAAAGCAAAAAGCAAGCCTTGAGGTCGAAGGAATTGTCCATAGAGCTCCGAGACAGGATCGTGTCCAAGCACAGATCTGGGGAAGTGTACCAAACAAATTCTGCAGCACTGAAGGTCCCCAAGAACACAGTGGCCTCCATCGTTCTTAAATGGAAGAAGTTTGGAACCACCAAGACTCTTCCTAGAGCTGGCCGCCTGGCCAAACTGAGCAATCGGGGGAGAAGGGCCTTGGTCAGGGAAGTGACCAAGAACACGTTGGTCACTCTGACGGAGCTCCAGAGTTCCTCTGTGGAGATGGGAGAACCTTCCAGAAGGACAACCACCAATCAGGTCTTTAAGGTTGTGGCCAGACGGAAGCCACTCCTCAGTAAAAAAGGCACATGACAGCCCACTTGGAGTTTGCCAAAAGGCACCTAAAGACTCTCAAGACCATGAGAAACAAGATTCTCTGGTCTGATGAAACCAAGATTGAACTCTTTGGCCTGAATGCCAAGCGTCACATCTGGAGGAAACCTGGCACCATCCCTACAGTGAAGCATGGTGGTGGCAGCATCATGCTGTGGAGATGTTTTGCAGTGGCAGGGACTGGGAGACTAGTCAGGATCGAGGGAAAGATGAACGGCGCAAAGTGCTGAGAGATCCTTGATGAAAACCTGCTCCAGAGCGCTCAGGACCTCAGACTGGGGCGAAAGTTCACCTGCCAACAGGACAACGACCCTAAGCACACAGCCAAGAAAACGCAGGAGTGGCTTCTGGACAAGTCTCTGAATGTCCTTGAGTGGCCCAGCCAGAGCCTGGATTTGAACGTCTCTGGAGAGACCTGAAAATAGCTGTGCAGCGATGCTCCCCATCCAACCTGACAGAGCTTGAGAGGATCTGCAGAGAAGAATGGGAAAAACACCCCAAACACATGTGTGCCAAGCTTGTAGCGTCATACCCAAGAAGACTCGAGGCTGTAATCACTGCCAAAGGTGCTCCAACAAAGTACTGAGTAAAGGGTCTGAATACTTATGTAAATATTATATTTCACTTATTTATTTTTTTATTAGATTTTTTTTCTAAAAACCAGTTTCTGCTTTGTCATTATGGGGTATTGTGTGGAGATTGATGCGGTAAAAAAACAATTTCATCAATTTTAGAAAAAGGCTGTAACGTAACAAAATGCGGAACATGTGAAGGGGTCTGAATAATTTCCGAACGTACTGTATATAATACAACTAAATGTAATACTGTCCTGTATTATATAATACATTATATAACTAAATGTAATACTGTCCTGTATTATATAATACATGATATAACTAAATGTAATAATGTCCTGTATTATATAATACATGATATAACTAAATGTAATACTGTCCTGTACTATATAATACATGATATAACTAAATGTAATACTGTCCTGTATTATATAATACATGATATAACTAAATGTAATACTGTCCTGTACTATATAATACATGATATAACTAATGTAATACTGTCCTGTATTATATAATACATGATATAACTAAATGTAATAATGTCCTGTATTATATAATACATGATATAACTAAATGTACAGTTGAAGTCGGAAGTTTACATACACTTCGGTTGGAGTCATTAAAACTACAAATTTCTTGTTAACAAACTATAGTTTTGGCAAGTCGGTTAGGACATCTACTTTGTGCACGACACAAATAATTTTTCCAACAATTGTTTACAGACAGATTATTTCACTTATAATTCACTGTATCACAATTCCAGTGGGTCAGAAGTTTACATACACTAAGTTGACTGTGCCTTTATACAGCTTGGAAAATTCCAGAAAATGATGTCATGGCTTTAGAAGCTTCTCATAGGCTAATTGACATCATTTTGAGTCAATTGGAGGTGTACCTGTGGATGTATTTCAAGGCCTACCTTCAAACTCAGCGCCTCTGCTTGATATCATGGGAAAATCAAAAGAAATCAGCCAAGACCTCAGAAAAAAAAATTGTAGACCTCAACAAGTCTGGTTCATCTGTACAAACAATAGTACGCAAGTATAAACACCATGGGACCACGCAGCCGTCATACCGCTCAGGAAGGAGACGCGTTCTGTCTCCTAGAGATGAACGTACTTTGGTGCGAAAAGTGCAAATCAATCCCAGAACAACAGCAAAGATGCTGGAGGAAACAGGTACAAAAGTATCTATATCCACAGTAAAACGAGTCCTATATCGACATAACCTGAAAGGCTGCTCAGCAAGGAAGAAGCCACTGCTCCAAAACCGCCATAAAAAAGCCAGACTACGGTTTGCAACTGCACATGGGGACAAAGATCGTACTTTTTGGAGAAATGTCCTCTGGTCTGATGAAACAGAAATAGAACTGTTTGGCCATAATGACCATCGTTATGTTTGGAGGAAAAAGGGGGGAGCTTGCAAGCCCAAGAACACCATCCCAACCGTGAAGCACAGGGGTGGCAGCATCATGCTGTGGGGGTGCTTTGCTGCAGGAGAGACTGGTGCACTTCACAAAATAGATGGCATCATGAGGAAGGAAAATGATGTGGATATATTGACGCAACATCTCAAGACATCAGTCAGGAAGTTAAAGCTTGGTCGCAAATGGGTCTTCCAAATAGACAATGACCCCAAGCATACTTCCAAAGTTGTGGCAAAATGGCTTAAGGACAACAAAGTCAAGGTATTGGAGTGCCCATCACAAAGCCCTGACCTCAATCCTATAGACAATTTGTTGGCAGAACTGAAAAAACGCATGTGCGAGCAAGGAGGCCTACAAACCTGACCCAGTTACACCAGCTCTGTCAGGAGGAATGGGCCAAAATTCACCCAACTTATTGTGGGAAGCTTGTGTAAGGCTACCCGAAACATTTGACCCAAGTTAAACAATTTAAAGGCAATGCTACCAAATACTAATTGAGTGTATGTAAACTTCTGACCCACTGGGAATGTGATGAAAGAAATAAAAGCTGAAATAAATCTCTACTATTATTCTGACATTTCACATTCTTAAAATAAACTGACCTAAGACAGGGAATTTTTACTAGGATTAAATGTCAGGAATTGTGAAAAACTGAGTTAAAATGTATTTGGCTAAGGTGTATGTAAACTTCCGACTTCAGAGCGACTTACAGTTAGCACATATATTATTTTATCAAACCCACAACCCTGGCGTTGCAAACGCCATGCTCTACCAACTGAGCTACATCCCCTGCCGGCCATTCCCTCCCCTACCCTGGACGACACTGTCAACTGTATAACTAAATGTAGACTGACCTGTATTATATCATAAACTAAATGCAGTACTGACCTGTAGGATGTGCTGCAGGCTGGAGCCAGCATGGCCCGTCAGCGCTCCGGTCTGACCAGGTTTTGTCTGGACTACTGACATCACCTTCCCCAGGTTGGACAGGTTAGACAGCTGGAGGACAGAGGTAGGGGAGACTGGTCAAACACCACAGGACTTTTACAGAGGTAGTGGAGACTGGTCAAACACCACAGGACTTTTACAGAGGTAGTGGAGACTGGTCAAACACCACAGGACTTTTACAGAGGTAGGGGAGACTGGTCAAACACCACAGGACTTTTACAGAGGTAGGGAGACTGGTCAAACACCACAGGACTTTTACAGAGGTAGGGGAGACTGGTCAAACACCACAGGACTTTTACTATGAATACAAGTCGATTTCTATTTAACGTAATAGAACATATGCCACTTAACAGATGCTTCCACATGACTTATTAAGACAGGCCTATTTAACGCCATATAATGAGTGTGTATTGTTGAACTTACATGGCTGTGGAAATACAGTGGGGGAAAAAAGTATTTAGTCAGCCACCAATTGTGCAAGTTCTCCCACTTAAAAAGATGAGAGAGGCCTGTAATTTTCATCATAGGTACACGTCAACTATGACAGACAAATTGAGGGAAAAAAATCCAGAAAATCACATTGTAGGATTTTTAATGAATTTCTTTGCAAATTATGGTGGAAAATAAGTATTTGGTCACCTACAAACAAGCAAGATATCTGGCTCTCACAGACCTGTAACTTCTTCTTTAAGAGGCTCCTCTGTCCTCCACTCGTTACCTGTATTAATGGCACCTGTTTGAACTTGTTATCAGTATAAAAGACCTGTCCACAACCTCAAACAGTCACACTCCAAACTCCACTATGGCCAAGACCAAAGAGCTGTCAAAGGACACCAGAAACAAAATTGTAGACCTGCACCAGGCTGGGAAGACTGAATCTGCAATAGGTAAGCAGCTTGGTTTGAAGAAATCAACTGTGGGAGCAATTATTAGGAAATGGAAGACATACAAGACCACTGATAATCTCCCTCGATCTGGGGCTCCACGCAAGATATCACCCCGTGGGGTCAAAATGATCACAAGAACGGTGAGCAAAAATCCCAGAACCACACGGGGGGACCTAGTGAATGACCTGCAGAGAGCTGGGACCAAAGTAACAAAGCCTACCATCAGTAACACACTACGCCGCCAGGGACTAAAATCCTGCAGTGCCAGACGTGTCCCCCTGCTTAAGCCAGTACATGTCCAGGCCCGTCTGAAGTTTGCTAGAGTGCATTTGGATGATCCAGAAGAGGATTGGGAGAATGTCATATGGTCAGATGAAACTTTTTGGTAAAAACTCAACTCGTCGTGTTTGGAGGACAAAGAATGCTGAGTTGCATCCAAAGAACACCATACCTACTGTGAAGCATGGGGGTGGAAACATCATGCTTTGGGGCTGTTTTTCTGCAAAGGGACCAGGACGACTGATCCGTGTAAAGGAAAGAATGAATGGGGCCATGTATCGTGAGATTTTGAGTGAAAACCTCCTTCCATCAGCAAGGGCATTGAAGATGAAACGTGGCTGGGTCTTTCAGCATGACAATGATCCCAAACACACCGCCCGGGCAACGAAGGAGTGGCTTCGTAAGAAGCATTTCAAGGTCCTGGAGTGGCCTAGCCAGTCTCCAGATCTCAACCCCATAGAAAATATTTGGAGGGAGTTGAACGTCCGTGTTGCCCAGCGACAGCCCCAAAACATCACTGCTCTAGAGGAGATTTGCATGGAGGAATGGGCCAAAATACCAGCAACAGTGTGTGAAAACCTTGTGAAGACTTACAGAAAACGTTTGACCTGTGTCATTGCCAACAAAGGATATATAACAAAGTATTGAGAAACTTTTGTTATTGACCAAATACTTATTTTCCACCATAATTTGCAAATAAATTCATTAAAAATCCTACAATGTGATTTTCAGGAATTTTTTTTCTCATTTTGTCTGTCATAGTTGACGTGTACCTATGATGAAAATTACAGGCCTCTCTCATCTTTTTAAGTGGGAGAACTTGCACAATTGGTGGCTGACTAAATACTTTTTTTCCCCACTGTATATGTATTTGAAATTGGTCACAGAGTTAATTCATTCATATATTCATAATACAGTGAGTGTATACAGTACATGTTTAAGATGTGACCCCCCCATGGGGGAATGGACTGTTTGTTATGCATGTAAAAGACAACAGAATGTATCCCAACTAACCCAATTCTGTACGTCCTTGCCAGACATCAGTTTGTTTTGACCCTGGTTGGCCGCAGTCAGCTTAGAACGGGGCACAAAGCAGATGCAGGGAGTCACTGCTAAACCAGGGATCAATAAGACGGCCAGCTGACTTGCTTAACATTTATTGTTTGTTTTAAATACATTTTTGGGGGGGGGGGGGGGGGAAGATGCTTGAAAATGGGCATGGATTAATTAAATAGAGTCAAAACGACAATTACAACTCATAATTGCAGAAACCGAACCAGAAAAATCTAAAAGTTCCTTCCGAACTATAAAAGTTATTACGTTATGAATGTTTTTAGCCACCAAACAGCCTCTGTCAGATCTTACCAGCGTGCCGCCTCCCCCAAGAGTGAGGGGACTCTTGACAAGAGTGATGGTCTTGGTGACTCCTCCCACTACCGTGGTAACCACCTGGTGTTGCTGGGCAACTGTCACCGTGCCAGACTTGTGCACGGTGATGATTGGCCGATTTGGCGTTCCGGTTGTGGCGACACCTGACGTGCCCACCTGAGCCGCAGCAGTCTTCAGCATGCGGGTGGCTGGGTTACTAATCTGAGAGAAGGACCGAGACATGGAGAGGGTCATTTTCAAATATATCTACTATTCTTTTTATTTACAAGTTGCGCCTTTAAAAAAATTAAATAAAATGGTGCTGGACACTTGTTTCAAATACTGAATATATTTTTCCAAAGTACTGTAATATTATGCTCACAAAACGGTGTGGTATTCTTTTATATATTCAGTGCCTTCGGAAAGTATTCAGACCCCTAGACATTTTCCACATTTTGTTACGTTACAGCCTTATTCTAAAATGGATTAAATTGTTTTTCCCCCCTCATCAATCTACACACAATACCCCATAATGACAAAGAGAAAACAGGTTTGTAGAATGTTTCGCTAATTTACAAAAAATAAAAAATCAGAAATAACTTATTTAAATAAGTATTCAGACCCTTTGCTATGAGACTCGAAATTGAGCTCAGGTGCATCCTGTTTCATCCTGGAGATGTTTCTACAGCTTGACTGGAGTCCCACTGTGGTAAACTCAATTGATTGGACATGAACTTATAAGGTCCCACAGTGGACAGTGCAGGATTGTGTCGAGGCACAGATCTGGGGAAGGGTACCAAAACATTTCTGCAGCATTGAAGGTCCCCAAGAACACAGTGGCCTCCATTATTCTTAAATGGAAGAAGTTTGGAACCACCAAGACTCTTCCTAGAGCTGGCCGCCCGGCCAAACTGAGCAATCGGGGGAGAAGGGCCTTGGTCAGGGATGTGACCAAGAACCCGATGGTCACTCTGACAGAGCTCCAGAGTTCCTCTGTGGAGATGGAAGAACCTTCCAGAATGACAACCATCTCTGCAGCACTCCACCAATCAGGCCTTTATGGTAGAGTGGCCAGACGGAAGCCACTCCTCAGTAAAAGGCACATGACAGCCCGCTTGGAGTTTGCCAAAAGGAAGCTAAAGGACTCTCAGACCATGAGAAACAAGATTCTCTGGTCTGATGAAACCAAGATTGAACTCTTTGGCCTGAATGCCAAGCGTCACGTCTGGAGGAAACCTGGCACCATCCCTACGGTGAAGCATGGTGGTGGCAGCATCATGCTGTGGGGATGTTTTTCAGCGGCAGGGACTGGGAGACTAGTCAGGATTGAGGGAAAGATGAACGGAGCAAAGTACAGAGAGATCCTTGATGAAAACATGCTCCAGAGTGCTCAGGACCTCAGACTGGGGTGAAGGTTCACCTTCCAACAGGACATCGACCCTAAGCACACAGCCAAGACAACGCAGGAGTGGCTTCAGGACAAGTCTCTGAATGTCCTCGAGTGGCCCAGCCAGAGCCCGGACTTGAACCCGATCGAACATCTCCGGAGAGACCTGAAAATAGCTGTGCAGCGACGCTCCCCATCAAACCTGACAGAGCTTGAGAGGATCAGCAGAGAAGAATGGGAGAAACTCCCCAAATACAGGTGTGCCAAGCTTGTAGCGTCACACCCAAGAAGACTCGAGGCTGTAATCGCTGCCAAAGGTGTTTAACAAAGTACTGAGTAAAGGGTCTGAATACTAACGTAAATGTGATATCTGTTTTCAATTTTTTTCAAAATGTATGGGGTATTGTGTGTAGATAGATTAGGATTTGTTTCTCTATCCATTTTAGAATGAGGCTGTAACGTTACAAAATGTGGAAAAAGTGAAGGGGTCTGAATACTTTCCGAACGCACTGTATAGACACTGAACAAAAATATAAATGCAACATGTAAAGTGTTGGTGCCATGTTTCATCAGCTGTTCGGGCGGCTGGTCTCAGACGATCCCGCAGGTGAAGAAGCCGGATGTGGAGGTCCTGGGCTGGCGTGGAGGTCCTGGGCTGGCGTGGAGGTCCTGGGCTGGCGTGGAGGTCCTGGGCTGGCGTGGAGGTCCTGGGCTGGCGTGGAGGTCCTGGGCTGGCGTGGAGGTCCTGGGCTGGCGTGGTTACACGTGGTCTGGGGAGGTCCTGGGCTGGCGTGGTTACTCGTGGTCTGGGGAGGTCCTGGGCTGGCGTGGTTACTCGTGGTCTGGGGAGGTCCTGGGCTGGCGTGGTTACACGTGGTCTGGGGAGGTCCTGGGCTGGCGTGGTTACACGTGGTCTGGGGAGGTCCTGGGCTGGCGTGGTTACACGTGGTCTGGGGAGGTCCTGGGCTGGCGTGGTTACACGTGGTCTGGGGAGGTCCTGGGCTGGCGTGGTTACACATGGTCTGGGGAGGTCCTGGGCTGGCGTGGTTACTCGTGGTCTGGGGAGGTCCTGGGCTGGCGTGGTTACTCGTGGTCTGCGGTTGTGAGGCTGGTTGGACGTACTGCCATATTCTCTAAAACGACGTTGGAGGCGGCTTATGGTAGCGAAATTAACTTTCAATTATCTGGGAACAGCTCTGGTGGACATTCCTGCAGTCAGCATACCAATTGCATGCTCCCTCAAAACTTGAGACATCTGTGGGGTTGCGTGACAAAACTGCACATTTTAGTGGCCTTTTATTGTCCCCAGCACAAGGTGCAACTGTGTAATGATCATGCTGTTTAAATCAGCTTGTTTAATCAGCTTCTTAATATGTCACACCTGTCAGGTGGATGGATTATCTTGGCAAATGAGAAAATGCTCACTAACAGGGATGTAAACAAATTTGTGCACAAAATCTGAGAGAAAATAAGCTTTTTGTGCGTATGGAACATTTCTGGGATCTTTTATTTCAGCTCATGAAACATGGAATCAACACTTTTACATGTTGCGTTCATATTTTTCTTCAGTGTACATTCCTATAACACTTAGAATGCATGGTTGATACATTGCTTCATTCCAAGTGGTATGGTCGGTGGTGTGGATATTGGTACAATACAATCCTCACTACCTACTACAAATCGCTCTAGTGAGCCGGCCAGCAGACAGAGGTTTACATGGTGTCCGTGTGTGTGGTACCATTAGTCCGAGTAGGATCTTACCATGACAGGCGAAGCAGCTTTGACAGTCTGGGAGCCAGGGCTCATGGCCACCGTCTTGACGATGGTGGCACCAGCTGGCAGCTGCATGGTGGCCGTGGAGGGCGGGATCTTCTGGGTGGCCGCAGCAGCTGCAGCCAGCGCAGCCATGCCACTCATCTGAGGGCTGCTGCCCATTGGCTGAGAAGGCAGAAGCAGATAGAGAAAAAACATATTAAAATGAGGCGTATTCATAGGATTTGGGAAGACTCATTGGAATAGAAGGAGCACAACTCGTGCATGAATCCATAAGACAGGAAAGGAAACTTCTAGAGCTCGTTTCCCAGAGATGGTTCACTGAGCATACGGTTTAGGGTAGGAAATAGGTCCAGAGACAACATACAGTGAGGATTTCACCAAAATAACTTAATTAAATTAAAAAAAATAACAAAAACTAGCCTATTTAGTGCCAATTATTGAGTCTTAAACCATTATTTGACTGTTTAAATCCATGGCTGAGTTAAATCCATGGCTGAGTTAAATCCATGGCTGAGTTAAATCCATGGCTGAGTTCCCTACATAGCGCACTCCTTTTGACCAGGGCCCATATGCAGACCATAAGTTCTTTATTTATTCATACAGTTCCCTGTGCGACCTGGGCCGGCACCACCATGCGAACCCCGGCAGGAAGTGATGTAACCATGACAGGGGATTTCCCGCCCTGGTTGGCCTGTCTCACCGTGACGATGGAGGTGCCTGTGGTGGAGTGGGGAGCAGACACCTTAAGAATAGCTGGAGGGGGGAAAAAAAAAAAAAACCATGTTTAGATGGTGGCTGATCTGGAAAGAAACCATTTGATTTTGTTTTGATGTAAAAAATTATAAATCAAAACAGACGTGCTGTCCAAACTTCACCATAGTCTCAACAATCTACTTAGTATTGAGAAGTTACAGGGAAATGAAAATACAGCATTTAACATACCACAGTAGTAGCCTAACATAAAACCGTCAGTAAGTCGTGAAAATGGATGCACTCACTAACTAAGTCGCTCCGGATAAGAGCGTCCGCTAAATGACTAAAAATGTAAAAGTAGTGGTTACCTGGTCCGCGTGCAGCCAGTGGACTCGCAGGCATGGAGGTGGTAGGGGAGGGGACCAGGGTGATGCCCTGGGGAGGGTGGCCATGGACGGACATGGCCGAGGCTGTGACGGGGCTCTTGGGGGAGGAACCGACCGGTAGTGACGTCGAGGGGCTGACGCCGGGGGAAGTGGCAGCCGTGGCGGGGGGGATATCGTACTTCTGCAGTTGCAGCAGGAAGGTGTCTGCAGTAGGTACTTCCCCCCAGCTCACCTCCAGGCTGCTGGTGTTGGCTCTCACCAACTGCACCCGTGACGGGGGGCGGGGCTTCTCTGTGGGGAGACGAATAAAAAATTAAAAAACAAGAGCAGCAGTTAGGATTTACAAAATAACCACCTGATTAAATCATTAAACATTTCGTATTTTAAAAATACATTTTTCAATTAACACACACATTAACACACACACAAGCATCTTTCTGAACAAACCAGTGTCATACTAACTGATAAAGTGAAAAGTGAACTCACCTGTCTCTAGGTACCAGAGGTCCTTGCAGCACACCTGGTTGTTCCAGGCCTTACGGTACCCGTCCCGTCCACTCCAGACGTAGAGGCGTGAATTGATGGCTACGGAGCAGTGTCCGGCCCGGGCTCTTGGCATGTTATCCTCTAGAGAGTCCATCAGAACCGACTCCCACACCATCGAGTCTGGTGCAATACAATTTGATTGTCAATGGAAACAGTAGGGAAGGAGGGATAGCATTTTACATTAAATCAGTTGAGAGGTAAATTGTTGCTGAGGCACGTTTGTCGTTTGAATTTCGTTTTTTTTAGGGGGGGGGGTCAACGTTTTATAAAACACTGAGCACCAAATGTTGTAATTTTTAGGCAATTTTATCTAAGAGACTGGTTGGTCAATCAGACTGACATACCTAGGTTGAGACAGGCCAGTGTGTTGGTCAGACTGACATACCTAGGTTGAGACAGGCCAGTGTGTTGGTGAGACTGACATACCTAGGTTGAGACAGGCCAGTGTGTTGGTGAGACTGACATACCTAGGTTGAGACAGGCCAGTGTGTTGGTGAGACTGACATACCTAGGTTGAGACAGGCCAGTGTGTTGGTCAGACTGACATACCTAGGTTGAGACAGGCCAGTGTGTTGGTCAGACTGACATACCTAGG